TTAGCTGGGCATGGTGGCGCGTGCCTGTAATCCCAGCTACTCAGGAGGCTGAGGCAGGAGAATTGCCTGAACCCAGGAGGCGGAGGTTGCGGTGAGCTGAGATCGCGCCATTGCACTCCAGCCTGGGTAACAAGAGCGAAACTCCGTCTCAAAAAAATAAATAAATAAATAAATAAATAAATAAATAAATAAAAATTAAAAATAAATAAATAACAAATAAATAAAATAAAACAAAATAAAAATGTTTATTTTCTTTCTCATTCCCCTCTCCAGCTCTCCCCCACTTTTTAAGACAAGGTCTCACTCTGTCAACCAGGCTGGAGTGCAGTGGTGCAATCACAGCTCACTGCAACCTCTGCCTCCTGTGTTGAAGCGATCCTCTCACCTCGGCCTCCCGAGTACCTGAGACCACAGACACACACTGCCATGCTCAGCTAATTTCTGTGTTTTTTATAGAGACAAGGATCTCACTATGTGGCCCAAGCTGGTCTCAAATTCCTAGGCTTAAGGGATCCTCTTGCCTTGGCCTCCCAAAGTGCTGGGATTACGGCCATGAGCTACTGCGTCTGGCCTATTTATTTACTTACTTATTTTTGAGACAGGGTCTAGTGGTGTTGCCCAGGCTGGAGTGCAGTGGTGTGAACACAGCTCACTGCAGCCTTGACTTCCTGGGCTCAAACGATCCTCCCACTTCAGCCTCCTGAGTAGCTTCAACTACAAGAGCACCACCATGACCGACTAATTTTTTTTTTTCTTTTTTGAGACAGAGTCTCACTCTGTCATCCGGGCTGGAGTGCAGTGGTGTGATCTCGGCTCACTGCCACCTCCGCCTCCTGGGTTCAAGTGATTCTCCTGCCTCAGCCTCCCGAGTAGCTGAGATTACAGGCGTGCACCACCATGCCCGGCTAACTTCTTGTGTTTTTAGTAGAGACGGGGTTTCACCATGTTGGCCAGGCTGGTCTCGAACTCCCGATCTCATGATTCACCCACCTCAGCCTCCCAAAGTGTTGGGATTACAGGCATGGGCCACCACACTGGGCAATGCCCGACTAATTTTTTAAACTTTTTATAGAGACGGGGTTTCACTATGTTGCCCCAGCTGGTCTTGAATTCCTGACCTTAAGTGAACCTCCCTCAACGACCTCGGAAAGCACTGAGATTACAGGTGTTAGCTACTGTGCCTGTCCCTCCCACCACCAGCACACCAGTTTGAAAGGTTCTATAATCCAGCTACTCAGGAGGCTGGGGCAGGAGAATCACTTGAACCCAGGAGGCAGAGGTTGCAGTGAGCCGAGATTGAGCCACTGCACTCCAGCCTGGGGAAAAGGGTGAAACTTTGTCTAAAAAAAAAAAAAAAAAAAAAATTAGTCGGGCATGGTGGTGCTCTTGTAGTTCCAGCTACTCAGAAGGCTGAGGTGGGAGGATCGCTTGAGCCCAGGAAGTCAAGGCTGCCGTGAGCTATGTTCACATCTAGCTTTTGCTGGATGTAGAGACTTGCAGTCATTTATTTTCCTTTTGGATAAAAAGATTAAACTAAAGAACAGAAAATAGATGGCCTGGCCTGGCGGCTCAAGCCTGTAATCCCAGCACTTTGGAAGGCCAAGGCAAGCAGATCACTTGAGGTCAGGGGCATTGCTACAAACAATTACAAAATTTAGCTAGGTTTTGTGGCCCGCACCTGTAGCCTCAGCTACTCAGGAGGTTGAGGCATGAGAATCACTTGAACCCGGGAGGTGGAGGTTGCAGCGAGCTGAGACAGCAACACTGCACCCCAGCCTGGGCCACAGAGTGAGACCCTGTCTCCAACAAACAAACAAACAAACAAAAAGAATAAACGTTCTTGCTCTTAGACAAAACATATCGCACAATCCACCATCAGGAGGCTGCTGGGGCCTGGTGGCAGGGTCGCCAGCCCTCACCTTGGTCAAGGTGTACGTCCCCAGCAGGTTCAGCTCCAGCAGCTGGCGGAATTCCTGGGTGGAGGTCTCCTCGGGCCACTGTTCAGGGGGTGGGTCTAAAGTGGGGGGGTGAGAGAAAGGAAAAGTGAGGGGGGTCAGGCGTGGTGAATCACACCTGTAATCCCAGCACTTTGGGAGTCTGAGACAGGCAGATCATCTGAGGTCAAGAGTTCGAGACCAGCCTAACCAACATAGAGAGACTCCATCTCTACTAAAAATACAAAATTAGCCAGGCATGGTGGCTCACGCCTGTAATCCCAGCTACTCCGGAGGCCGAAGTAGGAGAATCACTTGAACACGGGAGGCAGAGGTTGCGGTGAGCCGAGATTGCATCATTGTAATCCAGCCTGGGCAACAAGAGTGAAACTCTCGCCGGGCGCGGTGGCTCACGCCTGTAATCCCAGCACTTTGAGAGGCCGAGGCAGGCGGATCACGAGGTCAAGAGATCGAGATCATCCTGGCCAACACGGTGAAACCCCACCTCTACTAAAAAGACAAAAAATAGCCGGGCATGGTGGCACGTGCCTGTGGTCCCACCTACTCGGGAGGCTGAGGCGGAAGAATCGCTTGAACCCAGGAGACAGAGGTTGCGGTGAGCCGAGATTGTGCTACTGCACTCCAGCCTGGTGACAGAACAAGACTCTGTCTCCAAAAAAAAAAAAACAAAGAAAGAAAGAGGGAAAGAAGTAAAGAGGGATGAGGCAGGAATCAGGGGCAGGAGAGGGTAAGCTGAGGTACAAGAAACAGAGTTGGGGGCCAGGCAGTGGGGAATGTCCCTGGGGTCTCACAACTCACGGTGGCCAGCGTTGTTCACAACACAATCCAGGCGGCCAAATCGGCGGATGGTCTCAGAAACCAGGTTCTGAGGAGGAAGGAAATGTTGTTTGATTTTTTAATTTTCTTGTTTTCTGTTTTTTGCTTTTTTTTCCCTCATTGCTCAGGCTGAAGTGCAGTGGCACGATCTTGGCTCACTGCAACCTCTGCCTCCCAGGTTCAAGTGATTCTCCTGCATCAGCCTCCCGAGTAGCTGGGGTTACACGCACCCACCACCACAGCCGGCTAATTGTTATATTTTTTATTAGAGTCGGGGTTTCACCATGTTGGCCAGGCTGGTCTCGAACTCCTGACCTCAGGTGATCTGCCCACCTCAGCCTCCCAAAGTGCTGGGATTACAGGCACCATGCCTTACCCAGGAAATGTCCTTTGAATGAGCAGTAGATGAGGTGTCCAGCCATAAGGCAGACAGGGCTGCCAAACGCAAGGCAGGAGGGGAAAGCTGGACTCCCAGGTCAGGGGACAAGAGCTAGAGGAAGAAGGACGCCGACATCAGCAGACACGGCAGGCAAGCGGCAGACAGGAAGGAGACAGGGGGCTGGTCAGAGCCACAGTGCAGTCATCATTCCCAGGTCAGGGGTGGGGGTTGACAAGGGTTCAGATAGAGTGTAGGAGACAGTTACCCAAGTGGGGCAGATAACAGAGAGATACTGATTGAAAGGAAGAAGTAGGGGCCATGCGTGGTGGCCCACACCTGTAATTCCAACATTTTGGGATGCCGAGGCGGGCGGATCACAAGGTTGGAGTTCAAGACCAACCTGGCCAACCTGGCGAAACCCCGTTGCTACTAAAACTACAAAAATTAGGTAGCTGTGGTGGCTGGCGTCTGTCATCCCAGCTACTTGGGAGGCTGAGACAGCAGAATCACTTGAACCCAGGAGGTGGAAGTTGCAGTGAACCCAGATGGCACCACTACACTCCAGCCTGGACAACAAACAGCAAAACTCCCTCTCAAAAAAAAAAAAAAAAAATGAAAAGGAGAAAATAGGAACCCAGAAACAGAAACAAGGGAGAAAAATTGGTTACAGGCCAGGTGCGGTGGCTCACACCTGGAATTCCAACCCAGGAGGAGCTGGGAGCCTGGAATCCTGGGTCTGAGGGAGGAGGAGTTGAAGGCCCTTTGGGAGGCAGAGGTGAGCAGATCACCTGAAGTCAGGAGTTTGAGTCTAGCCTAGCCAATATGGTGAAACCATGTCTCTACTAAATACATAAAAATTAGCTTGGCATGGTGGCAAGCGCCTGCAATCCCAGCTACTCGGGAGGCTGAGGCAGGAGAATCACTTGAACCCAGGAGATGGAAGTTGCAGTGAATCAAGATCGCACCATTGCACTCCAGCCTGGGCGACATCTCCAAAAAAACAAAAGAGAAAGAAAAATCAGTTCCAGCTGACCCACTTTGAGGGACTTTGATTCATTTCCATTCACGTGTCAGGTGTGCTAAGAGCCTTGGAGAGGTGGGAGCCAATCACGGAAGACTTGTGTGGGAGTGACACTGGGTGGAAACCTCTGATGGGGCCAGTGGAGCCAGCAGAGGAAGGAAAAGTAGAGGGAACGGCATATGCAGATGCCTGGCGGAGAACAAAGAACTGGCAATTAGCGGAGACGCGGAGTAGGAACAGGAACTTTGCTCACCCTCACATCATCTTCCTGAGTCACGTCACAGAGGATAAAGACAGCTCTAGGGAGCTCCCGCTCCAGCGCCCGTCCCCCAGACTCTGCAGTGAGAGAAGAGCGGGGAGCCTGGACCGCTGGGTCTGAGGGAGGAGGGGCTGGGGCCTGGACCCCTGAATCTGAGGGAGGGACTGGGGCCTGGACCCCTGGGTCTGAGGGAGGAGGGGCTGGGGCCTGGACCCCTGGGTCTGAGGGAGGAGGGGCTGGGGGCCTGGACCCTTGAATCTGAGGGAGGGACTGGGGCCTGGACCCCTGGGTCTGAGGGAGGAGGGCCAGGGTAAGGGCTGAGGGAGGAGGGCCGGGGTGAGGGCTGAGGGACCGTCACTCACCATCCTTGTCGCACATAACCACTTGGGCCCCGCTGTCCACTGAGAATGGGAAGAGAATAGGTGACCCTCCGAGCCTTGGGTCAAGCCTCTGCCGCCCTCTGGTGGCCACCTAGAGTGGGGTAGCTCTCCCTCTCCCCTCTCCTCGTGACCCCAGTCTCATGATCACCCGCAGGACAGAGAGTAGAGGCCTTGATGCATACTCTCCCTGCCTGCCCAGGTTTCTGCTGAGGCTCCTGAGCCCCCGTTCGTGGGTTCCAGAGCCAGCCCCACGACTGCCAGAGCCATTCCCCAGCCACTGGTATTGCAGCTTCACTAACAGACCCAGAGAAAGGGGGCCACTGCCCTCCGAGACCCCGCCAGACTCAGCCCCAGCCTACCGCGGCATGCGCTTACTTTAGCCTGCAAATGGGCTTTTGTCAGGTCAGAATCCCGGCTGCAGTACTGGGGTCCCTATTTTCTGCCCCCATCGCCCCGCCCCCATCCTTCTTCTCTCACACGCCCCAGCTCCCAGAGGCCAGACCCCGCTCACCGAAGGCGCGGACGATCCCGGCTCCGATGCCGCGCGCGCCCCCGGTCACAACCACCACCTTCCCGGCATAGCGCGTTCCCGTGGCCATCCCGTCTCCGTCGGTCTCTGTCTGTCTCTCTACTCTGAGCCTCTGTCCACCTCCAAAGCCGCGTGAGAGCCTCTCATCAAACCATCAATAGGGGCTGGATCCTGGAAGTCCGGCCCCGGGAGGCGTTGCCAGGAAGGCTGGAGACCTGGGTTTGGCCCCAGTCCCTCCTCCCTCAGACACTCGCCTCCTCCCTCAGACTCAGGAATCCAGGCGCTCCAGGACCTCCTCCCTCAGACACTCCCCTCCTCCCGGAGACCCAGGAATCCGGGAGCCCCAGTCCCTCCTCCCTCAGACACTCCCCTCCTCCCTCAGACTCAGGAATCCAGGAGCTCCAGGCCCTCCTCCCTCAGACACTCACCTCCTCCCTAAGACCTCAGTCCCTCCTCCCTCAGATTCAGGGGTCCAGGCCCCCAGCCCCTCCTCCCTCAGACTGAGGGATGAGCTTCTCCATCCCTTCCTCTCAGAGACCTAAAAGTCCAAGACCCTATAAGTCCAAGGTCCCTGTCCCCTCCTCTCTCAGGACCCAGGAGTCCACGACTCCGGCTCTGCCCATCAGAGACTCCAGCGCCACAACCCCGAACAGACAGAAACAAAGTTATTGACTACAAGTTCAAAGTTTTAATCCAAGTTTAGACAGTGTTGAGAAAACCAAACTTTGGCCATAGAAACCATTCCCATCCCGGGCCGGCGACAGCGACCAGACCACGCCCCCTGATGCCCTGAGTGGTCCCAGATCTCTCCGGCGGTACCTCCGGGTCACGTCCTTATGCTCCGATTGGCTGCCGCCTTTGGGAGGGTTAAAAGCTGGACTGTAGAAGAGTGACGCGCAAAGGCCACGCCCCCTCGTCTTGGGGCAGGACCGGAGGGGCGATCCCGGCATCCCACGTGGGCCCCCAGGGGGCGGGGCCTCCGCCACGCCCACTGCCTCTGCGAAAGAACCCGGTGGAACCCGAATTAGCCACCGGGGGAGATCTGGGGGGAGGGGTCTCCTGGCGCGTGGGGTCCGACGGAGGCAGCGGCACACGTGGGAGAGGGTCTCCCTGGGAGTCCAAATTTCCACCTGGAGAGGATGAGTAGGACATGAGAATGGCAAACTTCAGCACCAGGACTCCGGATTCCCAGGCCCCTCCTGCCTCAGACCCAGGAGTCCAGGCCCCAGCCCCTCCTGCCTCAGACCCAGGAGTCCAGGCCCCAGCCCCTCCTCCCTCAGACCCAGGAGTCCAGGCCCCAGCCCCTCCTCCCTCAGACCCAGGAGTCCAGGCCCCAGCCCCTCCTGCCTCAGACCCAGGAGTCCAGGCCCCAGCCCCTCCTCCCTCAGACCCAGAAGTCCAGCACCTCCTGCCTCAGACCCAGGAGTCTGGATACCTCAGTCCAGTCCTCTTTGAGACTCAGTTGTCGTCCCTCTACCCGCCCACGACTGCTTCCTCCTCTGCTAAGTGTCTCAGACCCCAGTCCCCTCTTGAATGAGACCTAAAACTCCCAAACCCTGCCCAACTCTTTCCTCGCCAAGATAAAAAATTCGCACCGGCCCCCAGACCCCTCCTCTCCAGGACCTGGGACTCCAGGTCTCCAGCTCTCTCCTCCCTAAAACCCAGAAGTGCAACACCCCCAGCCATCACCCGTCATCATTCTGTGCCACTGCGACGCCTCAGTAGCCAGGGCTTGGGAGAGGCTGAGAACTCGCTCCCGGTGGCCTTCGGAAGTCGGCAAGTAAGGGGTGCTGTTCTTCGGACTAGAAAAAAGAGAAAATTGGGGGTGGGGGTGTGTACATGGGGAAGAGGTGGGGATGGTTAATGGGTATAGAAAGAAAAGGATGAATGAGTAAGACCTACTATTAGATAGCACAACAGAGTGACTATAGTCAATAATAATTTAATTGTACATTTTAAACTAAAGGGTGTAATTGGATTGTTTACACATCAAAAGATAAATGCTTGAAAGGGGATGGATACCCCATTCTCCATGATGTGCTTATTTCACATTGCCTGCCTGTATCAAAAAATCTCATTTATCCCGTGAATATATATACACCTATGTACCAAAATTAAAATTAAGAAAAATAAATAGGCCAGGCGCGATGGCTCACCCCTGTAATTCCAGCACCTTGGGAGGCGGAGGCGGAGGCGGGCGGATCACTTCAGGTTAGGAGTTCGAGACTAGCCTGACCAACATAGCGAAACCCGGTCTCTACTGAAAATACAAAAATTAGCCAGGCATGGTGGCGGGCGCCTGTAATACCAGCTACTGGGATGCCGAGACAGGAGAATTGCTTGAGCCCGGGAGGCGGAGGTTGCAGTGAGCCGAGATCGCGCCATTGTATTCCAGCCTGGGAGACGGATCGAGATTCCGTCTCAAAAAAAAAATTAAAAAATTAAAAAGTAAGGATAAAAATTAAAAAACCCGCCGGCACAGTGAGGACCCGAGTACCGCGCGTAACCTTCTGGGAGTTGTAGTTCCTAGCACGTGTCTCTAAAAGATGTTACACATGGTACCACCCCCATACCGCCCACATGCCTTATGGGATTTGTAGTCCATTCGCGCGTCAATATCCCCCACTGACTGTCCTTGATGCAGAAGCAGGACCTGCTATTGACCAAGGGAATTTGGGGAACTAAAGATATCGCTACGTATGTAGGGCTTTCTGGTTTTGTTTCAGATGCCCCGGGAACTTAAGCGCCTCTAGAACAGTTGCGACTTGTAGTTCCATATTTCGGAGACTTCCATAATAATGCTACTCTCTTCCGCTTTTGCAAATTTTATTTTCCTGCTCCCTTGATCTGCCCGCCAGTTCCTTACCTACTCCAGGACCCAGAGCTTCTGAGCCATTTTTGGGCTCCAGAGTGTCCTACGACAGGCTGGAAAGGAATTGGGGCATTAGAACTGCTCGCCTGAAAGCCCCACGTTCTCATTTTGAGGGTAAAGTGAAGGGGGCTCCAAAAGAGAATGAAATTGGCCGAAATACTGGCAATGTTTCGTTTGTTTTTCCTATGCTTCTGTAGGCACTGAATTTTTAAAAATTAATTTATTTTATTAATTTTTTAGAAAGGATGGAGTACAGTGGCATGATGGTAGCTCACTCCAGCCTCAACCTCCCAGGCTCAAACTAATCCTCCTACCTCAGCCTCCTGAGTACCTAGAACTACAGGCTCGCACCACCATGCCTGGCTAATTATTTTTATTTTTATTTTGGTAGAGATGAGGTCTTGCTATGTTGTCCAGGCTGGTCTCTTACTCCTGCCTTGGCCTCCCAAAGTGCTGGGATTACAGGGGTAAGCCAGAGCACACAGCCCCTGACAATGTGTAACTTCACCTGTGCTCCTAATAAAGCAGCACGTGAGTTCAGAAATCCGACCTCCACCACCACCACCTGTGACTTGTCTAAATCCTTTCTATAAAAGTCCAAGGGGGCTAGGTGCAGTGGCTCACACCTATAATCCCAGCACTTTAGTAGGCCAAGGTGAGCAGATCACTTGAGGTCAGGAATTCAAGAACGGACTGTTCAACATGGCAAAACCTTGTCTCTACTAAACACACACACACACACACACACACACACACACACACACACACACACATTAGCAGGGTGTGGTGGCATGGGCCTGTAATCCCAGCTACTTGAGAGGCTGGGGCAGAAGCTCATTGTTTGAATCTGGGAGGCAGGGGTTGCAGCAAGCCAAGATCACGCCACTGCACTCCAGCATAGGAAACAAAGCCAGGCTCCCTCTCAAAAAAAAAAAAAAAAAAAAAAAAAAAAAAAAAAAAAACACACACACACACAACTAAGGGGAAGTCAGGAGCAGTAGCTTATATCTGTAATCCTAACACCTTCCGAGGCAGGAGGATCACTTGAGCTCAGGAGCTCAAGACCATCCTGGCCAAAGTGGTAAAAATCTGTCTTTACTAGCTAATAGAAAAATTATCTGGATGTGGTGGCACATTCCTATAGTCCCAGCTACTCAGGAGGCTAAGGCATGAGAATCGCTTGAACCCAGGAGGCGGAGGCTGTAGTGAGTGGAGATTGCGCCACTGCACTCCAGCCTGGGCGGACAGAACAGGGCTGTCCCTCAAAAAAAGAAAACACTAAGGGAAGCCATCCTGAGATATCTGAGAAACTCTGATGTTCAGATCTGGGATGTTCTCCCTATTGGAAAAGCATGAATACAATCAATTTTCTTGCTGGTTGATATTTTGTTTTTCTTTCTTGCTGTTGACAACACATAGCAGCTGAGAAAAAAAAACTAGGCTTCCAATACAGATCTGTGACCCCCCGCCCCCACCAACTGTCCTCCCCTCACTGCCACGCCTGTCCACTCATCACTAACGAACGAGGCCAGGACACTGACTGAGTACAGACAGTGGTAAATCCAGAAATCCAGTTTGGTGTAAAGAGGTAGGGATTATCACCATTTTACAGAAAGGGACTCAAAGTAGGTGACAAGGACCCACTACCACCCTACCGCCCAGCCCCAGCCCTCCTCCCCTCACCCTTTGCTCCATGTCAGGCTGGCGTCTGGCTGGGGACAGTGTCCTCCCCAGGGTGAGGAGCCGGGGGGAGGTTGGGCGAGGGAGGGGCCGTCCACATTCCTGGTTTCTTCGCATCCGCTCCAGCTGCTCCTGGGCACTCATACGGGGCCGGGCCACCGGGGCCTAAGGAGACGAGAAATGTCCCAAGACCCCACCCTTAGGCCAGGCGAGGTGGCTCATGTAATCCCAGCACTTTGGGAGGCTGAGACAGGAGTATCACTTGAGGTCAAGAGTTTGAGACCAGCTTGGCTAACTTGGTGAAATACCATCTCTACTAAAAATACAAAATTTAGCTGGGTGTAGTGGCAGGCACCTGTAATCCCAACTACTCAGGAGGCTGAGGCAGGAGAATGGCTTGAACCAGGGAGGTGGAGGTTGCAGTGAGCCAAGATCACGCCACGGCACTCCAGCCTGGGTGACAGAGCAAAACTCTGTCTCGAAAAAAAAAAAAAAAAAATTGTTGCTTAAGCAGGGAGAGAGAGAGAAGGCCAGGTTCAGGGGTGGGTGACTGTAATCCCAGAACTTTGGGAGGCTGAGGTGGAACAATCACTTGTGGCCAAGGGTTTGAGACCAGCCTGGGCAACATAGCAAGACCCCATCTCTACAAAAAATAAACATGTTAGATGTGGTGATACACTCCTGTCACCTACTCAAGAGACTGAGGCAGGGGGATCGCTTAAGCCCAGGAGTTCAAGGCTTCAGTGAGCTATGATTGTGCCACTGCACTCCACTCTGGTGACAGAGCAAGACCCTGTATCTAAAGAAAAAAAAAGACCGGATGCTGTGGCTCATGCCTGTAATCCCAGCACTTTGGGAGGCCAAGGTGGGCAGATCATGAGGTCGGGAGATCAAGACCATCCTGGCCAACATGGTGAAACCCCATCTCTACTTTTTTTTTTCCTCCCCTACCCCCACATCTCTATTAAAAATACAAAAATAAGCTGGGCCTGGTGGCATGTGCCTGTAGTCCCAGCTACTCAGGAGTCTGAAGCAGGAGAATCGCCTTGAACCCAGGAGATAGAGGTTGCAGTGAGCTGAGATTGGGCCACTGCACTCCAGCCTGGGCAACAAAGCGAGACTCCATCTCAAAAAAAAAAAAAAAAAGAAGAAGAAGGGAGAGAGAAAGAGAACACTCATTGCTGGAGTTTCCAGTTAAACATTCCAGTGAGAGAGCTTGGATCTGTGCTTACTGCAATACCGGCCCCAGCAATTTCCTCTGCTTTGACCAATCCTGAGTCCTGTGTTACATAAATGATGGCCGCTGGCTACTGCATATTACCCTATGTTGTTAATTTCTTTTTTTTTTTCTTGAGACTGAGTCTTGCTTTGTCACCCAGGCTGGATGTGATGGCACAATCTCGGCCCACTGTGACCTCCACCTCCCAGGTTCAAGCAATTCTCTGCCTCAGCCTCCTGAGTCGCTGGGATTATAGGTGCCTGCTACCACACTGGTGAATTTTTTTGTATTTTTAGTAGAGATGGGGATTCACCGTCTTGGCCAGGCTGGTCTTGAACTCCTGACCTCATGATCCACCAGCCTCAGCCTCCCAAAGTGCTGGGATTACAGGTGCAAGCCACCGCACCTGGCCACTGCTGTTAATTTCTTCATAGCAGATCAGACCGTTGGCCTAAAAGCTTGCTAGCAACAAATTCAGACTCCTACACATCCAATTGTTTTAAACATAGTCTTAATAAGCAGATATTTTTAGCCAAGCAGTCTGCCTGCTTTGTATACCCTGAGACTCTGCCCAACATCTGCTAGCCATAGATAAGTAAGACAAGCCCCTTGGCCAGGCACGGTGGCTCACGCCCATAATCTCAGCACTTTGGGAGGCTGAGGCGGTGGATCACGAGGTCAAGAGATCGAGAGCATCCTGACCAACATAGTGAAACCATCTCTACTAAAAATACAAAAATTAGCTGGGCATGGTGGTGCACTCCTATAGTCCCAGCTACTCGGGAGGCTGAGGCAGGAGAATCTCTTGAACCCAGGAGGTGGAGGTTGCAGTGAGCCAAGATTGGGCCACTGCACTCCAGCCTGGTGACAAGGTGACTCTGTCTCAAAAAAAAAAAAAAAAAAAGATAAGCCCCTTCTCCAGTCCCTCTCTCGGGAGCTCCCTTCCCCTCCCTTCCCTCCTGTGCAGCGGTCCTCACCCTCACACAGTAGCCTCTGGAGGGTCTCACACTGGGTGTGACGTCCCCCATAGACAAATCTGTCAGTGTCCACCAAATAAAGCTCCTGTGTGCTACTGCCATCTGGTGGTCATAGGTTTTTCTTTGCTCAGCCCTGAAACTTCTGGAACTCACTAGACCACCTATGTGCTCTGGACCTTGGCAGCCCCTGAAACCATGGGGTTGGAGTGAGGGAGGAGCATGTCCCAAGATAAGTGATGTTTCCAGGAGGCTCCCATCATCCAGCCCATGACTCGTACCACTGAGAATCAAAACTTGCCTCTCCTCTCTTCCTAGGAAAGGCTTGATTGCTTTTGTATCCATGATGACAAGTAAGCACCAGAAATACATTTTTTTTTTTTGAGACACGTTTTCCCTCTGTTCCCCAGGCTGGAGGTGCAGTGGTGCCATCATGGCTCACTGCAGCCTTGACCTTCTGGACTCAAGCAATCCTCACGTGTCAACCTCCCAAGTAGCACCACCACGTACAGCTAACTTTTTATTTTATTTTTTGAGAAAGAGTCTTGCTCTGTCGCCCAGGCTGGAGTGCAATGGCATGGTCTCGGCTCACTGCAACCTCTGGCACCCAGGTTCAAGCGATTCTCCTGTCTCAGCTTCCCAAGTAGCTGGGATTACAGGTGCGTGCCACCACACCTAGCTAACTTTTGTATTTTTAGTAGAGGCGGGGTTTTGCCATGTCAGCCAGGCTGATCTTGAACTCCTGACCTCAGGTGATCCACCTGCCTCGGCCTCCCAAAGTGTGGGGGTTACAGGCGTGAGGCACTGTGCCCGGTCACAGCTAACTTTTTATTATTTTTTTTATAGAGATGGGTCTTGCTATGTTAGCCAAGCTGCTCTTGAACACCTGGGCTCAACTGATTCACCCACCTTGGCCTCCCAAATTGTTGGGATTACAGGCACGAACCAACACCACCGGCCGAGAAATGCTTTTATTTACATATTTTATTATCATTATTATTTTGTGAGACAGTCTTGCTCTGTTGCCCAGGCTGGAGTGCAGTGGTGCAATCTTGGCTCACTGCCACCTCTGCCTCCTGGGTTCAAGTGATTCTCCTGCCTCAGCCCCCCCCAGGTAGCTGGGATTACAGGCACCCACCATCACACCTGGCTAATTTTTGTATTTTTGTAGTGACAGGGTTTCACCATGTTGGCTAGGCTGGTCTCAAACTCCTGACCTCAGCTGATCTGCCTGCTTCAGCCTCCCAGAGTGCTGGGATTACAGGAGTGATCCACCATTCCCAGCCCCAAGAAATGCTTTAAAATCTGTTTTATTAAGTAATCCCAACAGGTACCCCAAAGGCTTCTGAAAGCCAGCCAATCAGTGATGGATCTGAGATTCTGAAAATCTGCCAATCAGTGACAGTCACATGCTTCTGAAGGCTGGCCAATCAGTGATGGATCTGTCCTTCTGAAAATCAGCCAATCAGTGATAAGTCCATGCTTCTGAAAACCAGCCAATCAGCAGCAGACACAGAACTTCCACAGCTTAATATTAACCAATTCCTAAACATTCTCGCTACTGGAAGTCCACCAGTTTCTGAACTTCAGGGACACATGAGATCAGCTCTCTGCCCCACTCAGGGAGTATGTCTTTTTGTTGTCGTTGTTCTTGTTGTTGTTTTGAGTTAAAGTTTTGCTCTTGTTGCACAGGCTGGAGTGCAATGGCATGATCTTGGCTCACCGCAACCTCCACCTTCTGAGTTCAAGTGATTCTCCTACCTCAGCCTCCCAAGTACCTGGGATTAACAGGCATGCGCCACCACACCCGGCTAATTTTTGTATTTTTAGTAGAGATGGGGTTTCACCATGTTGGCCAGGATGATCTCGAACTCCTGACCTCAGGTGATCTACCTGCCTTGGCCTCTCAAAGTGCTGGGATTACAGGTGTGAGCCACTGCACCTGGCCTTTGTTTTGAGACAGAGTCTCGCTTTGTTGCGTAGGCTGGAGTGCGGTGATCACACCACTCCAGTGGTATGATCCAGGCTCACTACAACCTCTGCCTCCCAGGTATAAGCAGTTCTCCTGCCCCAGCCTCCTGAGTAACTGGGATTACAGGCACATGCCACCACCCATGGCTAATTTTTGTATTTTTAGTAGAGATGTGGTTTCACCAAGTTGGCCAGGCTGGTCTCGAACTCCTGACTTCAGGTGAACATCTGTCTTGGTCTCCCAAAGTGCTGGGATCACAGGCATGAGCCACTGCACCTGGCCTCATACATCTAGTTTTCATCTTCATGTCAGCTCTAGATGGTAGCTTCTGCTATTAGCTCCATTTAACAGATGAAAAAATGGAGTCACAGAGAGGTTTAATAACTGACCCAAAGTCACACAGTTTAGAAGCAGCAGAGACAAAATTCAATCTCAGTGCTCTTAACAAACAGTTCCTCCTGTTCTGAGTGTGGCCTTAGAACCCTACTCCTAGCTGTTTCCCCAGAAGTGTTGGGGTCCCTGATGGTCAGATGCAAGCATTACAGGATGGATCTACAGCCTACCTTGGTTCCCAGCTGTGGGGAAGGGAGGTGGTGACCCTCAGGGCTGGAAGCCCGGGAGACCCTTGGAGACCCAGTACCTAGGAATACAGAACGGGACTTGGTGAGGATGGGAATTTCCAGAAAGTCCCACCCGGCCAGAATGCTCACCTAAGCGAGGGCTGGAGAGGTCTTTGTCACCTCCAGGAGGCCGCCCCCAGTCAGTCTCGGGGGACCGAGGGGAGCTCAGTTCCAAGGACTCAGGCAGGCTCTTCGGGGATAAGAAAAAGGGAATAACAATGATGATGGTGATGATGATGATGATGATGATAGTTATTATTATTTTGAGATAGAGTTTTGCTCTGTCGCCCAGGTTGTAGTGCAGTGGCGCAATCTTGTCTCACTGCAATCTCCACCTCCCGGATTCAAGCAATTCTCCTGCCTTAGCCTCCCAAATAGCAAGTATGTGCTACCACACCTGGCATTTTTTGTTTGTTTGTTTTTTTGAGACGGAGTTTCACTCTTGTCACCCAGGCTGGAAGGCAGTGACATGATCTCAGCTCACTGCAACCTCTGCCTCCCAGGTTGAAGCGATTCTCCTGCCTCAGCCTCCTGAGTAGCTGGGATTACAGGCACCTGCCACCACATCCAGATAATTTTTTGTGTTTTTAGTAGAGACAGGGTTTTACCATGTTGGACAGGCTGGTCCTGAACTCTTGACTCAGGTGATCCACCCGCCTCAGCCTCCCAAAGTGCTGGGATTACAGGCGTGAGCCACCGCGCCATCTATTATCATTATTATTATTAACATGTTTCAAGCATTTAGCAATTAGAATACAGTCTGAATAGGATTTTTTTTTTTTAAGACGGGTTTCACCATGTTGGTCAGGCTGGTCTTGAACTCCCGACCTCAGGTCATCCGCCTGCCTTGGCCTCCAAAGTGCTTGGATTACAGGCGTGAGCCACCACTCCTGGCCCTGAATAGGATTAAGACTATAAACCAGATCTGAGCACAGAAGCTCATGCTTGTAATCTCAGAGCTTTGAGAGGCCAAGGTGGGAGGATCACTTGAGGCCAGGAGCTAGAGACCAGCTGGGCAACATAGTGAGACCCTTTCCCTACAAAAACTTTTTAGGCTGGGCACAGTGGGTTCACATCTATAATCCCAGCACTTTCAGAGGCCAAGGTGGGTGGATCACTTGAAACCAGGAGGTCAAGACCAGCCTGGGCAACACAGGGAGACCCCATCTCTACAAAACAAAGAATTAGCTGGGCGTGGTGTCAGACACCTGTAGTCCTAGCTACTTGGGAAGCTGAGGTGACAGGATCACATAAGCCCAGGAGATCAAGGTTCCAGTGAGCCATGATCACACCACTGCACTCCAGCCTGGGCGACAGAATGAGATGTCTTTATTTTATTTTTTTTCTCTTTTATTTTTTTCTTGAGATCTGTCTTTTTTAAAAAATCCTGGTTGGGTGTGGTGGCTCACACCTGTAATCCCAGCACTTTGGGAGGCCGAGGCAGGTGGATGACTTGAGGTGGGAAGTACGCGACCAGCCTGGCCAACATGGTGAAACCCTATTTCTACTAAAAATACAAAAATTAGGCCAGGTGAGGGGGCTTATGCCTGTAATCCCAACTACTCGGGAGGCTGAGGCGGGAGAATCGCTTGAACCCAGGAGGTGGAGGTTGCAGTGAACCGAGATCGTGCCACAGCATTCCAGCCTGGGTGACAGAGTAAGACTCCATCTTCCAGAGGTTAGGACAGTTGCCCTAGGTGGGTTCGCTGATCAAGGAAGAATTAAAGAGGCCGAAGGGGACTAGACTGAGCCAAGGACAGATGGGACAGGAAGCTGGGGGTGGGGAGAGAATTGTGTGCATCTTACCTCCCTCTCTGAGGACTCCTCGCCCTGGAGCACGGGAGAGGGGGAGTCAGGCTCAGTGTGTGGGGGCGGTTTCTGGGGGCCACCCAGACCTGCCAGCGTGTCTTCCACCATCCACAGCTGCTGCTGAGCAGACACTCTGTCCTGTGGGGAGGAAAGGAATTTGTCACTTAAAGACGGGAAAATGCGGGAGAGTTTCAGCTAACAGGCCCCTGCAAAGGTCTGAAGTCAGCTGGGCTATATTGATGGAGTTGGGATTTGTTTTTTTTTTTCACGTGGTTATCCAATTTAATTGAAAAAACTGTCTTTTGGCTGGGCGCGGCGGCTCACACCTGTAATCCCAACACTTTAGGAGGCCCAGGTGGGTGGATCACCTGACATCAGGAGTTCAAGACCAGCCTAGCCAACACGGTGAAACCTCATGTCTATTAAAAATACAAAAAAAATTACTCGGGTGTGGTAGTGCATGCCTGTGATCCCAGCTACTCAGGAGGCTGAGGTGAGAGAATCACCTGAACCTGGGAGGTGGAGGTTACAGTGAGGCGAGATGGCACCACTGCACTCCAGCCTGGGTGACAGAGCAAGATTCTGTCTCAAAACAAAAACAAAAACAAAAACAAACAAACCTAAAGGGCGTGGTCTTAACTAAAATAACGGGCTTAGATTGAAAGGACAGGAAGGAAGCCAAGCGCGAACTGGGCGGGGCCTCTGTTCTGTGGGCGGAGCCTAGACTCTATGGGAGGAGATTAAATGCCCAAAGGATTTCCAGGCAGAAGCTGGAGTTGGGGTGGGTCTTGGCGTCTCCATGCAGGGATTTACCTGGGGAGAACCGAGGTGCAGCAGATACTCCAGGGTCTCTCTTAAGGTGCCCAGCTCCTGCTCCAGGCCACTGTACGTGTCCCAAACCCTCTCTCGCTCCTCAGGTTGCATAAAGGGGGAGACACAGGTTAGCTCCCTCTCTCACCAAATCTTTGCCCATCCCATCGTTTGTCAGCTAAGGAGGAGGTAAGGGAGCTTGGTCCCTGGGGCCCTGCGGGCATATGGACTACAATTCCCATGAGCCTCCCTGCTTGGACTATAATTATCTGTAAAATGGAGACAATAATAGTAACTAGCAAATAGAAATTAAATGAGAGCTGAGAACAGTGCCTAGCACATGATCAGGGAACTCCAGAGACTGTATAGAATCTGCGGTGCCAATGCACTGCTAGTGTAGACAAACAACAGCATTCCCTGAATCCCCTGAATTACTTCTGCATTCTCACAGGTAGCACAGTCTACAGATCTAATGAATTCATTAGACAGTCAAAAGACCACAGCACCTGACACGGTATGGTGGCTCACGCCTGTAATCCAGCACTTTGGGAAGCCAAGGTGGGTGGATCACTTGAGGTCAGGAGTTCGAGACCAGCCTGGCCAACATGATGAAACCCATCTCTACTAAAAATACAAAAATTAGCCAGGGGTGGTTACAAGGCGGGCATCTGTAATCCCAGGTACTCGGAGGCTGAGGCAGGAAAATCACTTGAACCCAGGAGGTGGTGGTTGCAGTGAGCCAGGATCCAGCCGCTGCACTCCAGCTTGAGCAAAAGAGCAAGACTCTGTCAAAAAAATGACCACAGCACCCACTCACCCCGGGGCAGCAGAAACTCTCTCGCCAATAACAATAATAACAGCAGCTAACACTTATTGGACACTGACTACGTGCTAGGCAATGTTCTCAGCTCTACAGATAATAATTATAGCTGACACTTAAGTATTGCTTACCAAGTACCAGATACCTTAAGTGTTTTTGTTTTTATTTATTTTATTTTACTTTTTTAGAGTTGGGGTCTTGCTGTGTTGCCCAGGCTGGAGTGCAATGGCTATTCACAAGCGCAGTCTCACTACTGATCAGCACAGGAGTTTTAACCTGCTCAATTTCTGACCTGGGCCAGTTCACCCCTCCTTAGGCAACCTGGTGGTCCCCTGCTCCCGTGAGGTCACCATATTGATGCTGAACTTAGTGTGGACACCCGATAGGCATAGTGCACTACAGCCCAGAACTCCTGGGCTCAAGCGATCCTCCCACCTCAGCCTCCCAAGTAGCTGGGACTACAGACACACGCCACCAAGCCTGGCTGTTTTTATTTTTTTTGAGACTGAGTTTGCTCTGTCACCCAGGCTGGAGTGTCATGGCGCAATCTCAGCTCACTGCAACCTCTGCCTCCCAGGTTCAAGCAATTTGCCTGCCTCGACCTCCCAAGTAGCTGGGATTACAGGCGTGCACCACCGCACCCAGCTAATTTTTGTATTTTCAGTAGAAACTGGGTTTCACCATGTTGGCCAGGCTGGTCTTGAACTCCTGACCTCAGGTGATCCACCTGCCTTGGCCTCCCAAAGTGCTAGGATTACAGACATGAGCCACCGCACCGAGCCCCTAAAGTATTAAATATTCATTCATCCATTCATTTACACATATCACATAATAATTCTCACAGTTACATAAGGCCAGGTGCAGTGCCTCTTGCCTGTAGTTCCAGCACTCTGGAAGGCTGAGGCAGGCAGATCAACTGAGGTCAGGAGTTCGAGACCAGCCTGGCCAAGATGGCAAAACCCTATCTCCACTAAAAATACAAAAATTAGCCAGTGTGGTGGTGCATGCCTGTAATCCCAGTTACTTGAGAGGCTGAAGCTGGAGAATTGCTTTAACCTGGGAGGCGGAGGTTGCAGTGAGCCAAGATCACACCACTGCATTCCAACCTGGGTGACAGAGCAAATCTCAAAAAAAAAAAAAAAAAGACAAGGCATGATGGTTCACACCTATAATCCCAGCATTTTGGGAGGCCAAGGCGGGTGGATCATGAGGTCAGGAGTTCAAGACCAGCCTGGTCAACATGGTGAAACCCCGTCTCCACTAAAAATACAAAAATTAGCTGGGCATGGTGGCACATGCCTGTAATCCCAGCTACTTGGGAGGCTGAGGCAGGAGAATCACTTGAACTAGGACTCAGGAGGCGGAAGTTACAGTTAACCAAGATTGTGTCACTGCATTTCTGTCTGGGCAACAGAGTGAGACTCCGTCTCAAAAAGAAAAAAATTGGAACAGTTACAAGACAATAAGGAGAGAGAAAAAATAATAAAATAAAATTTGGAGTGGTGGACTTCTGAAGAACTATCTTCCTATGAGGCCTCTGTGGCAGGTCCTCTTTGTAACACTTGCATAGTCCTGGGGCCTCCTAGGCAGACAGGCCCCTTCCCAGGTGCTCACCTGAGTCAGGTGACAGAGGGCGGCCCTCACACTAACCAGCCTGTCTTGCAGGAGGCGCTGGCGGCCCCAGGCCCTCCCGGGAGCCCCAGCCTCCCTGGTGGCTTGGCCTAGCTGCTGCCGGGTCAACTCCAGGGCTGCTTCTAGCTGCTCCTGCACCAAGAGAGAAGATGATTAGACTTCGAAAGCCAGGCCCAGCCCCGGGAAGAAAGAGAAGGTGTCCTCTTGGCCGGGCGCGGTGGCTCATGCCTGTGATCCCAGAATTTGGGAGGTCGAGGCGGGCAGATCACAAGGTAAGGAGATCGAGACCAGCCTGGTCAACATGGTGAAACCCGTCTCTACTAAAAACATGAAAATTAGCTGGGCATGGTGGCGCGTGCCTGTAATCCCAGCTACTCAGGAGGCTGAGGCAGGAGAACTACTTGAATCAGGCAGGTGGAGGTTGCAGTGAGCCGAGATCACACCACTGCACTTCAGTGTGGGTGACAGCTTGAGACTCTGTCCCAAAAAAAAAAAAGTGTCCTCTCACATCCTGGACGTCCAGTCAGCATCCTGACCTCCAGAGTCAGGGCAGGCGGAGAGGGCAGGCTCCCCGTCCCTGGCTCAGGGCCCCGCACCTTCTCCTCCTGCCTCTGGTCTATCTCCTCCTGCAGCCTCCGCAGGAGCCGGTCCTGGCCGCACAACTTGGTCAGCAGCGTCTGGAGAAAGGAGAGTGGCAGCTGCTTATGGTGCAGATCTGGGTCTTCCTCTGCCCAGTCCTCCCACCTTCTAGAACATTCTCTCCCCAACTCTGGAACTCAGCAAGGACTGGATCAGTGAGAACTTACATCTGTCTCCAAGCTTTGGTGGAAAGTTGACTCCAGGGGAGGACCTGGCTGAAGAGAGGGAGAAAAGTGAAGGATCAAAGGGGACAGACTAGTCATTATTGTAACTCAGTGCTGAGCCAAGCCCTGCTTCTACTGATAGATACCCACTATTTATTTATTTATTCCCGTACAACACACAACTTTGCTCAGAATTTATTTATTAATGAGAGGTTCTTCTTTTTTTTTTTTTTAATATTTATTTATTTATTTTTAAAGACGGGGCTTCACCATGTTGGTCAGGCTGGTCATGAACTCCCAACCTCAGGTGATCCGCCCGCCTTGGCCTCCAAAGTGCTTGAATTACAGGCATGAGCCATCACGCCCGGCCCAATGAGAGGTCCTTATGTTGCCCAGGCTGGCCTCAAACTCATAGCCTCACCTCCTTAAGCGTCAGGACAGCTGTCCTGAGCCACTGCAGCTCCCTTTATTTATTTATTTAGAGATGGAGTTTCGCTCTGTCGCCCAGGCTAGAGTGCAGTGGTGCGATCTCAGCTAACTGCAACCTCTGCCTCTCGCATTCAAGCGATTCTCCTGCCTCAGCCTCCCGAGTAGCTGAGATTACAGGTGTGTGCCACCACACCCAGCTAATTTTTGTATTTTTAGTAGAGACGGGGTTTCACCCTGTTGGTCAGACTGGTCTCATACTTCTGACCCCTTGACTCCAGACCTCTGTGCTCCAGAACTGCAAGAGAATCCATTCCTGTTGTTTCGGCCACTCACTTTTGTTACAGGAACCACAGGAATCTAATACCTACACAGCGGCCTTGAGATACCTAGGGATCTCCAGGCACCCTAGGCCAGGATATGACATTCCTCATAAAGAAGAAAGGAAGGAAGTCGGCTCTGGTAGATTTGGGTTACTCCAGGATACCTACCAATAAGACCAGGGAGGCCCGGGTCCCAGGGGGCCGTGGGGGGAGCTGGAGATAAGTAGAGGAGCCAGAGGGAGCCTGGGAGGAACATTGAAATGGAGATGTTTAGAAACTGGCATGTCTTTTTTTTTTTTTTTTTTTTTTGAGATGGAGTTGCACTCTTGTTGCCCAGGCTGGAGTACAATGGTGCTATCTTGGCTCACTGCAACCTCTGCCTCCTGGTTCGAGATCCTCCTGCCTCAGACTCCCGAGTAGCTGGGATTACAGGCATCCACCACCACACCCAGCTAATTTTTTTGTATTTTTAGTAGAGATGGTGTTTCCCCATGTTGGCCAGACTGGTCTCAAACTCCTGACCTCAAGTGATCCACCCGCCTCAGCCTCCCAGAGTGCTGGGATTACAGGCGTGAGCCATGGCACTTGTCACTAAGAAACTGGCATGTCTGGTGGCTCACGCCTGTAATCCCAGCATTTTGGGAGGCCGAGGCGGGAGGATCACAAGGTCAAGAGATCAAGACCATCCTGGCTAACATGATGAAACCCCATCTCTTCTAAAAATACAAAAATTAGCTGGGCATGGTGGCACGCACCTGTAGTCCCAGCTACTCTGGAGGCTAAGGCAGGAGAATCACTTGAATCACCTGCCTTAGGTTCAAGTGGAGGTGAAGGTTGCAGTGACCTGAGATCACACCACTGCACTCCAGCCTGGGCAACAGAGCGAGACTCTGTTTGAAAAAGAAAAAGAAATTGGCATGTCTTCGTGAGAAATAGTAGAGTGGACGTGTCCATCATTTAGGTGCTTTAGAAAATATTTTGAGGTTCAGAATTGGGCCCTCTCAACTTCCTCAACTACCTACTCTCCAGCTGTGGGGACACAGAGGGTGATAATAAAGGCACCAGCCTGGCAAAACAGCCCAAGGGGATGATGGAATTTGCTACTTTCATTCTCAGATTTGTGGTCAGCTATGGATATTCTGAGCTACAGTCCAATGATGCTCAGAGAAAACAGCAGGCAACCAACTTGCAAAGTAAACTAAGAACACAAGGGAGATGTAAACCCCTCACCGCACTGTCTTGGCATAGAGTATCCATAGACTGCGATCCCATGATGCTTAAAGAGTAATGGCTGGGCGGGGTACAGTGGCTCACGTCTGTAATCCTAGCACTTTAGGGGGTGAATTGAGAGGATCACCTGAGGTCAGGAGTTCCAGACCAGCTTGGCCAACATGGTGAAACCTCGCCTCTCCTAAAAATACAAAAATCAACAGGTGGATGCCTGTAATCCCAGCTACTCGGGAGGCTGAGGCAGGAGAATCGCTTGAACCCAGGAGGCAGAGGTTGCAGTGAGCCGAGATCGTGCCACTGCACTCTAGCCTGGGCGACAGAGCAAGACTCCGTCTCAAAAAAAAAAAAAAAGAAAAGAAAAGAAAAGAAAAAACAAAAGAGCAATGGCCGGACACCAGCCTAGAAAGACAGCCCAGACGCCGGATAGGAGATAACAGTTCTCATTCTCGTTCACCTGAGCCCGGCGGAGATCATTACGAACTACAATACCCATGATGCCTGGGGAGCAACGGCCTCGAGAATATGGAAAGACAGCCCTGAAGCCCGATGGGAGATGTAGTCCCCTTCTCACCTCTCTGCTCACCTGTGTTCTGGGTTCCTGACTCCAGTGCTGGGGACTCCTGGGGGGCTTTCCTCCTCCAGCCTCAGAGGGAGGTCCTCGGCGGGGAGTGGGGGGCCGGGAGAGGGTCTGGCGTTGGGAGCTCCAATCCAGAGGAGGCCGGACATCGATGCGACTCAGCGGGGTGTGAGGCCGTGCTGTGTCTCCTGAGGGGGCAGGGGGTCGCCGCGCAGGAGCAGAACGGGGACGGGGGAGACTGAGAGGTGAGGGAGGGCGAGAGAGTGGGGTGAACAGACTGTGGAAAGGAGAGAATCGGGGAACTGAGTCAACTAGAGCCCTCTCCATCAAGTTAACCTCAAGGATATGCCTCAGTCACTGTCTTACTGTCCCCTCTGGGTTAGAATTCTCCTCTACCGTCCAAATCCTCAATAATGTCCGCTTTGTGGCATCTTCCCCTTCAATCTTCTACCCGACAGGTTGTGACCCCCACGCGAGCCCCGGCAAGTCACAGACACTCAGGCGGAAAGCTCTAAGGCCCGCCCCCAACCACTTCTCGGCCCCGCCCTTCTCCTAGGCCACGCCCCCAACCCTGTCCTCCCTACTCACTCGGGGCTCCTCGCCCTCCGTATCTGGAGTCCAGACTGGAGGTCGGTTGTGGGGCTGGGAGTGAGCAGCCTGGGTCTACCACGACCTCTGGAGAGTCGAGCCACCTCCGGTGATTCCGAGATGCGCCCCTCTTCCCCTCTGCTCACCTCTGGGGGACCACCGGGGCCGCCAGGGCCCTCCCCAGGCTGGGGACGTGCGGGTGACCTGCGTTGCCCACTAGCGAGTGGGCACAGAAAAGATATCGCTCCTTTGAACTTCATAACAGCCTTTTTCTGTTATCACAGGTGAGAATACAAGGATGCACCCAAAAAAAGGGAAGTTGTGCCCTGTAAATCATCATCCCCCTTTTGCAGACGGGGAAACTGAGGACTCCAGTGTGGAACTGATCTGCGCACCAGGCCACAATGTCTATCCGGGTCGCTGGACCCAATGCCCCGGAATATGGGATAGACTCAGCCAGAGAGTCCAGTTTCCAGCCTGATAATTGACGCAGGCCATGACAGAGCCTAAGAGATAGTCTGACATTTTTTAAAAATCTGACACTATCTTTTACCTGGCATTAAATAATGCCACCTAAACAGGCGGCAGCTCAGGGTATGGAGACTTCAGAAGGAGCCTATCAGAGAATGTGGAATGTTGATCATTCCTGGGGCAGAGCTAAGTGCATGATTGAAAGGTCAGCTTGGGGGCGGGGAAGGACAAGATGGTGGGCGGAGCTTAAGGGAGAAAGACTTTTGCTGATTGGAAGAGCTGACGTTCCCGGGAGGCGGCAGCTTGGCTAGAAGACTGGTGATTGGACACTCAAGGGGGCAGGGCCCCAAACGGGAGGAGTTGGGATGATTAGACTGACCCAGGGTGGAGGTGCAGGATCAGGAGCATGGCCTGGGCCTCTACTCACAAGTCGTCCCCCTCCGCTCGGGAGGCCCGGCCCAGCGCCCGTAGCCAGCCCCGCAGGTCTTCTAACGTGTCAGCGGCCAAAACGTAGGTCCTCATGCCCGGATGCTCTGCCTGCGGGAAGAGAGGGCTTGGAATCCGGACTCCTTGTGAAAAGGAGGACAGGGCGGATAGTGGTTGACTCCCATAAACTTAGTGCTTTGGGAGACCGAGGCAGGAGGATCGCTGGACACCAGCCTGGTCAGCATAGTGAGACCGCTCCTGTCTCTAAAAAAAAAAAAAAAAATCAAAAAAGTAGCCATGCACCTGTTACTCGGGGGGCTGAGAGAGGAAGACTGTAGTTTGCGTCACTGCACTCGGGCCTGGGTGACAGAGCCAGAATGGAAAGACGAGAGAGAGAGAGAGAGAGAGAGAGAGAGAGAGAGGAAAGAAAGAAAAGGAGAAAGAAAGAAAGAGAAAGAAAGGAGAGAAATGAGAAAGGGAAAGAAAGGAGGAGAAGAGAGAAAGAAAATAAAAGAAAAACTGGCCAGGCATGGTGGCTCACTCCTGTAATCCCAGCACTTTGAGAGGCAGAGGAGGGTTGGGTCACCTGAGGTCAGGAGTTCAAGACTAGCCTGGCCAACATGGTGAAACCCCGTCTCTACTAAAAATACAAAAATTAGCCAGGCATGGTGGCGTGCACCTGTAATCCCAGCTACTCCGGAGGCTGAGGCAAGGGAATCGCTTGAACCCAGGAGCCGGAGATTGCAATGAGCCAAAATCATCCCATTGCACTCCAGCCTGGGTGACAAAGTGAGACTCTGTCTCAAAAAACAACAACAAAACAAAACAAAAAAACAGGAGGATGTGATGGACCCCTGTGAAGACTTTTAATCTCCAGTAACGGATTCTCCAGTGCTTGTTGGGACTTGGAGTTTCCTCCACAGATGTCTACCCGCCCTCATCTCCCGTTCCCATCACTTGGGACACAACACGGATGGAGGGACTCACGGTGAAGGTGAAGCGCCGCCCTCGGGGGGCTCCCGGCCCATCTGGCCTAATATTGTAGCTGGGGAGCAGGACGCTGCCCAGGACACTCTCCTCACGGCTGTCTGCAAAGAGGGGCTAGGGTCAAGGATCACACAGGGATTGGGAGGCCAAGAGGCTAGAGAGAAGGGCAGCTGGGGGGCCCTCCCACCCAAGCCAGCCAGCCACTGACCCTTGTAATAAAAGAGGCAGTGGCCGGAGAGGACAAACCAGCGGCGTTTCCATAGACGGAGCCCCGAGCTGTCCTGGGGAGAGAGATGGGATGAGGGGCCTGAGTCAAGGAAACAGAAAAAGGAGATGAAGGCACTGACAATGGGGACAGAAATGAACTTGGAGGGAGCAGAACAGAGACATAGATGGCGGATCAACGGAGTGGGATGAGGCTGGGCGCAATGGCTCACGCCGGTAATCCCAGCACATTGAGAGGCCGAGGCGGGCAGATCACTCCATTCCAGGAGTTTGAAAACAGCTTGGGCAACATGGTGAAACTCCATCTCTACTAAAAATGCAAAAATTAGCATGGTGCAGTGTGCCTGTAGTCCTAGCTACTCCGAAGGCTGAGGAGGGAGGATCACTTGAGCCTGGGAGTGGGGTGGAGGCACAGGAGAAAGATCCAGAGAGAGAGAAAAGACAGAGACAGATGTTGGGGGCATTGGAGGGGATCAGCTGAAGAGCTGGAAACTCTCTGAACACAGTAGAATAGAACAGAAGCCCTACTTCTGTTACAAGTGTGGTGGCTGAGCTCACATAGATTCTGGACACACTTGAACCTGAGATCTACTGTTACCTCCCCCGCTTTCTTTTCTTTTCTTTTTTTTTTTTTTTTGAGACGGGGTTTCTCTCTTGTTACCCAGGCTGGAGTGCAATGGCGCGATCTCGGTTCACTGCAACCTCCACCTCCCGGGTTCAGGCAATTCTCCTGCCCCAGCCTCCTGAGTCGCTGGGATTACAGGCACGCGCCACCATGCCCAGCTAATTTTTTATATTTTTAGTAGAGACGGGGTTTCACCCTGTTGACCAGGATGGTCTCGATCTCTTGACCTCGTGATCCACCCGCCTCGGCCTCCCAAAGTGCTGGGATTACAGGCTTGAGCCACCGCGCCCGGCTTCTTTTCTTTATTTTTTGTTTTTTGTTTGAGACAGAGCCTGGTTCTGTAGCTCAAGGTGGAGTGCAATGGCATGATCTTGGCTCACTGCAACTTCCTCCTCCTAGGTTCAAGTGATTCTCCTGCCTCAGCCTCCTGAGTAGCTGGGATTACAGACACACACCACCACACCTGGCTATTTTAGTAGAGATGGGTTTAGTATTTTTAGTAGAGATGGGTTTCACCATGTTGGCCAGGCTGGTCTTCAACTCCTGACCTCAAGTCCTGATCCACCCACTTTGGCCTCCCAAAGTGCTGGGATTACAGGCATGAGCCACTGCGTCTGGCCTCCCCCACTATCTTAATTTTCTTTTCGTTTTTTTTTTTGAGATGGAGTTTCTCTTTTGTTGCCCAGGCTGGAATGCAATGTTGCGATCTTGGCCCACCAAAACCTCCGCCTCCCAGATTCAAAGGATTCTTCTGACTCAGCCTCCCAAGTAGCTGGGATTACAGACAAATCAAAAATACAAAGATTAGCTGGGCGTGGTGACACATGCCTGTAGTCCCAGCTACTCAGGAAGCTGAGGCAGGAGAATTGCTTGAATCTGGGAGGCGGAGGTTGCAGTGAGCTGAGATCACACAGCTGCACTCCAGCCTGGCGACAGAGCGAGACTCCATCCCAAAAAAAAAAAAAAAAAAAGAAGTTGTCAAGAAATAGCCAGATGCGGTGGCTCACACCTGTAATCCAAGCATTTTAGAAGGCTGAAGCAGGTGGATCATTTAAGGTCAGCAGTTTGAGACCACTCTGGCCAACATGGTAAAACCCTGTCTCTACTGAAATACAAAAATTAGCTAGTCATGCTTGTAAACCCAACTAGTTGGGAGGCTGAGGCAGAAGAATCGCTTGAACCCCAGGGGCAGGGGTTGCAGTGAGTCGAGATCTCACCACTGCGATCTCAGCTCACTGCAACCTCCGCCTCCCAGGTTCAAGCGATTTTCCTGCCTCAGCTTCCCGAGTATCTGGGACTACAGCCATTCTTTCATCAAAAGAATGAAACAATGACAGAATAAGGGGAGGGGCAGTGATAGCAAGAAAAAGAAAGCCTATTTGGGGACTTGGAAGGAGAGAGACAGAGGACAGCCAGGGGCACAGACACGAGTGTCCTTTTCCTTCTCCCACTGACCCCACCTGCTTGTGAAGCCAGCCGCGGATGTGCACAGGCAGGTTGGGGTCCCTCCTCAGCGCATTGCCTCTCTTCCCAAAGGCATGGACCTTGTTTACTGGCCGGGTGGGCTTCTGAGGAGAGAAGGGAACAGAGTGAACAGGGAGAGCCTAGGATGGGCCCGGGAGGCGGTGAGGGGAACACAGGCAACTGTAGTTCTCACTTGGCTGTCCTGAGAAATGGGTCAAGGACCAGCTGGGCACTGTGGCTCATGCCTGTAATCCCAGCACTTTGGGAGGCTGAGGCAGGAGGATCACATGAGGCCAGGAGTTTGAGGCCAGCCTGGCCAACATGGTGAAACCCCCGTTTCTACTCAAAATATAAAAATTAGCCAGGCGCAGTAGTGTGTGTTCATAGTCCCAGCTACTCAGGAGGCTGAGGCACAAGAATCTCTTAAACACAGGAATCAGAGGTTGCAGTGAGCCAAGATTGTGCCACCACACTCCAGCCTGGGCCACAGAGCGAGACTCCATTTAAAAAAAAAAAAGAAAGAAAGAAAAAAGTCCAGGTGGGGGCTGAGTTTGGAGATCAGAATTGGGAGGTACTTCCAAAGGAGGGCCTTGGGGATCTGATCTAGGACTACGGGCTGGGAGGTCCCCATAATCAGGGAGAACTCTCATGCTGATGAATTCACCAGTGATGAATCCTAGTAAATCGAAGGATGCCTTAGTGCCCTGCGGTCACATCCCTTAGCAACCAAGTCCAAGGAGAGGAATCCTCAAATCCCTCCATCCTTTGGGGATGGGGCCACGCCTCCCAACGCACCCAGATGTCTCAGGCAGCCTCAGCCAGGTCCCCACTATATGCCCTTCCCTGGAAGCAGTGATACTGACTAAGGCTGAGATCAAATCTATGGGCTCTGAACTTGGGAAATAAAATGAGTGGAATGGCAGAAGGAAAAAGAAATGAGTGTCATCCCTACGCTTTGGGCTGGGATACAAGTATCTGAGGGCCCCTTGGGTCTTATTGTCAGAGAAGGTACCTCCATGCCCAGCTAATTTTTGTATTTTTAGTGGAGACAGGGTTTCACCATGTTGGCCAGGCTGGTCTTGAACTCCTGACCTCAGGATCCACCCGCCTCGGCCCCCCCAAATTGCTGGGATTACAAGCGTGAGCCACGGCGCCTGGCCCTCCTTACAGGATTTCTTTAGTGGGTAGATTGGATGGCGAGAGATAGGACAGCAAGTTCTAGCACTAATCAAGAGCAGCCACTACTTCTGAGAACTCGAGGGGCCTCACAGCTGAGGAGTGGCTTTATGTTAGCAACCAGGGTCAAAGGGGGTTGTTACTCTGGTTTAGAATTAGGAAAACACAAGGGGTGGGGACAGAGCTGGGAGTGCCTCTGAATTCCTAGCTGTGGCTGGTAGGCGATTCGGGACCTTGCTATGTCTGGCAGACCCCGTTGCTAAGGATCCTTGTCCTTAACCAGAGTCCTTGGGGAGACAGAGGGATGGGCGGCCCGGAGCCCCACCTTCCTCCCCATCCCCGCCAGGAAGCTCGAACCTTGGGGCTCAGGCTGCTGAGTGAGGAGATGGTGGAAGCGCTGCTGGCCAGGCTCAGGCTGCTGCGAGGTCGGCTCCCCTCCATCAAGGGCTGGGGGAGAGAAAGAAAGGGGCTGTGTCTCTGCAGTGACGGGTGCAGGACAGAGATGGGGTCAGGGGCTTGGAAGTCGGAGGAGGCTGAGGAGAAAGAGCCTGTTGTTTCGGGACTGGGGGGCTGGGGGAGGCCATGGCCCGTGACCACATACCAAGAGTGATGCCAAGAGAGGTAGGCGGCCCTGGCAGCTGTGGGAGGGGGCAGCTGTCTGCAGCCCAGGCAGGAGAATAGGGGCTCCTTTATTCCTGCCCACTGGACTCAGGACAGGAATTTGACCCTCTCTGTGCTTAAGGACCCCCCATTCCCTGCCTTCTTCCTGCTGTCCCCAGCTACCTGTCTTCCGCCCTCCCACACGCACCCCCAAACCATCCCTGCCAATTCCCCAAGCCAAGTCGTGCAGCACCAGGAATGTGCACCCAGAGAGCCCCTCCCCGCGCAGCCGGGGAACTTACCCAGCTCTGGGGTCCCGACGACAGGGGCAAGGGGCACCCAGGCAGTCTCCCGCCTCCTTTGTCTCTTAGCGGCTGTCTCTCATCGTGCTAGATCTCTCTTCACCTGCTCACTCGCACTTTTTGCTTCTGTCTCCCGTCTCTTGTGGGCTCTCTGTCTCTCTCTCTCTCTTCCTTTACACTCTGTCTCTCCCCAGTCCCACCCTCTGTGTCTCTCGCTGATCTCTGTCTCTTCCAGTCTCTCTCTCACTCATTCTCTCCCTCCCTCTCTCTCTCTTCAATTTGTTTCTGTCCAAATCTTTTATTGCCAGACTCACAGGGTCTCTTCCTTAAGTCTCTCCTTCATTCGCCCTCTCTCTCTCTCTCTCTCTCTCTCTGTCACCCCGTTTCCTCTCTCCCTCACACCCAGTCTCTTCCTCTTTCTCTCTCTCTCCGGCTCTCCACGTCTGCCGTTTCCTCCCCTTTCTCTTTCCGATTTCCCTTCTCACTTTCTCCCTTCCTCCCTCTCCCAGTTTCTCTTTCCTCTCTGCTGGTCTTTCCCTGCCTCTGCCAGCCGCCCACGCTGCCGTTGTCCCCTCCCAATCCCGGCAGTCCCCGCCCCTTCTGGCCTCCCCACTACAGCCTGACCCCTGGCTCAGCTGCCCCCACAGCTGAGGGGAGGCGCTATGGGCCCCCCAATTCCCGGGTCCCCTAAGGACCAAGGCTGGGACTTCGCAGTGTTGGGAGAGCGGCACCTGAGGCCTGCACTCCTTGGCCCCCGTGGGTTTGCTGTGGTTGGGGGCCTGGGCCGCTGGTGTCCTAAAGGGAGGGCGCTTGTGTCTTGCAAGGGGTGGGGACTCAGACTTCCAAAGCCCTGGAGCGTCTGGGTTAGGGATCCAGTCTCCTGGGTGCCGGAGAAGGCCCGAGGAGGAGTCAGGACTCCTGAGTTGTGAATGAGCTGGGGATCTGGAAGCGTGGCTGTGATTGGATGGGGCCAGGGATGGTTTGTCCAGGTCCTCTCGGGAGAAAACGGGGTGGTCCCAGCAGGGCAGGGTGAAAAGGAGAGTTCCAAATCTCCACCTCAGATCCGGGTGACAGTTCTCTTCTAGACTGAGGACGACTCCCTCAGGGGGGAGACATGGTTCCTTAGTATATTTTGAGGAACAAGATTATGCACCTGGGCTGGGTGCCGAGGCTCACACCTGTAATCCCAGCACTTTGGGAGGCTGAAGCGGGTGGATCGCCTGAGGTCAGGAGTTCAAGACCAGCCTGGCCAACATGGCAAAACCCAGTCTCTACTAAAAATACAAAGCCAGGTGTGGTGGTGGGTGTAAGGCCTCCCCGGGAGCTCGGACACACCCATCCCTCTCCACGCCTGAAAATCACGTCACCAGAATCTGCACTCAGCATCTAGCTTCCCCACGCCCACCTCTGCCCTCAACACTAAACTCTGCAATCCGCACCTAGCCAGCCGTTGGAAAACCCCGCCAAAATTTAAAAGAAGCCCCGCCAAAACCTGCCCAATAGCGCATTACTCTATCCAGCCTGCTTACCGGAAATCCCTCCTACCTACCTATAGCAGCTTGCTACGTCACATCCTGTTTCTCCACAGCCAATGAGAGCGTCTTCCCTCCCTATATAACCCTACGCCTGAGAGGAGTCAGGAGTGACTTCTCTGGCCCGCTTTCCTTGAACCGTAGAATCTCCTCCGGGAGCCGAATAAATTGGCGTCTAATTGTTCTCATGCAGGCCTCAGTTTCCTCATTTTAAACTCGGCAATAAACCTTACAGAGAATAAACCTTACAGTGGGTGCCTGTAATCCCAGCTACTCAAGAGTCTCAGGCAGGAGAATCGCTTGAACCCGGGAGGCAGAGGCTGCAGGGAGCTGAGATCGCACCACTACACTCCTGCCTGGGTGCCAGAGCGAGACTCTGTCTCAAAGGAAAACAAGATTATGCACCCGTAGGTAGGGGAGGAGAGCTGGGGGGCTGGAACTGTAACCCCGGGCCTGGAATTTGGAGCAGAAGCCCCCAAATCACAGGAAGAGTGCTGCCCAGGCTCTTTGGGCAGGCCAAGGCAGGAGGATCACTTGAGACCAGGAGTTCAAGACCAGCCTGGGCATCATAGGGAGACCCTGTCTCTATTGAGAAAATTAACTAAAAAGAAAAAAAAAAAAAAAGGCAGTGAGCCCTGCAGAGTGCCTGATCTTATAGTGCTTACATCCTTGTTCTCATTTGCAAGGAATCTGGACCCTGCTGTGGACCATCTTGGTCAACTGGCTTCATTTCTAAGCCTGTTTCCCCATCTGTGAAATGGGAACAATGACACCCTCACACTTGGAGAGGAAACCGATCGGATGTGAAAATGGGAGACTAGGTGGGGCCTGCTGGCCAAATTGGGGTGGGAAACTGGGCGCAGTGGCTCACACCAGTAATCCCAGCACCTTGGGAAACCAAGGAGGGGCAGATCACCTGAGGTTAGGAGTTTGAGACCAGACTGGTCAACCTGGCGAAACACTGTCTCTACTAAAAATAGAAAAATTAGCCGGGCATTGTGGCCTACGCCTGTAATCCCAGTTACTCGAGAGGCTGAGGCAGGAGAATCACTCGAACCCCGGAGGTTGAGGTTGCAGTGAGCTGAGATGGTGATACTGAACTCCAACTCCAGCCTGGGTGACAGAGCAACACTCCGTCTTAAAAAATAAATAAATAGGCTGGGCATGATGGCTCACGCCTGTAATCCTAGCACTTTGGGAGGCCAAGGCGGGTGGATCACCTGAGGTCGAGAGTTCAAGGCCAGCCTGGGCAACATGGTGAAACCCATCTCTACTAAAAATACCAAAAACTGGGCGGACGAGGTGGCTCACACCAGTAATCCCAGCACTTTAGGAGGCCGAGGCAGGCGGATCACCTGAGGTCGGGAGTTCAAGACCAGCCTTACCAGCATGGAGAAACCTCGTCTCTACTAAAAATACAAAATTAGCCAGGCATTGTGGTGCATGCCTGTAATCCCAGCCACTCGGGAGGCTGAGGCAGGAGAATCGCTTGAACCTGGGAGAATCACGGAGGTTTCAGTGAGCCGAGATTGCACCATTGCACTCCAGCCTGGGCAACAAGAGCGAAACTCCATCTCAAAAAAAAAAAATTAGCTGGGTGTGGTGGTACATGCCTGTAACCCCAGCTTCTTGGGATGCTGAGGCGGGAGAATGGCTTGAACCTGGGAGGCGGAAGTTGCAGTGAGCCAAGATCGCGACATTGGACTGCAGCCTGGGTGACAGAGAAAAACTTTGTCTAAAAAATAATAATAAATAAATAATTAGGCCTGGAGCGGTGACCCACGTCTGTAATCACAGCACTTTGGGAGGCCGAGGAGGGGCGGGGGGGAGGGGGGGAGCGGGGATCACCTGAGGTCAGTAGTTCAGGGCCAGCTTGGCCAACATGTTGAAAAAAATCCCTTCTCAAAAAAATAATTAATAAATAGATAAATAAATTGAGGTGGGAAGGCAGCTGCCCTGAGCTAAGAGAACTGGCCCGTTACTGAAGCAGGACCACGCATTTGATTGACAGTTCGCTTATTTGGGAGGCGTGGTTACGATCGGAAACTCCGCCGTGACGTCACAAAGGTTGGAATCTCCGCGAGAAGTGCTGTCTTTCACTTCCCACCCTTCGGGGTGTGGTCTCGAAACCACGCCTCTCCCCGTGACGTCAGCACGCCGGGTGAGGTAGACTATAAAAGCTTCGCGGACGCCTTCCACTTGCATTGCGTTGGTTCCCACCCCGATTGTTGATCATATGCGAGACGCTGCTCGACCCTGCGCCCCGCTTGTCGCCCCCGCGCTTGAGGCAGCCGTAGATACTCTGAGTTCCCAGAACCCCAACGCCTGAGGGTGAGATGAACGCGCTGGCCTTCCTAGCCGTCCGGACCTGTGATCGCTTCTGGCAGCCCAAGCCGGCGCTCCTACCCCCCGGGTGACGCGCAGTCCCCAGCCGGTGAGTAAGGAGTCGGAACGCCTGGGTCCCCACGGGGCTGGGGGCACGGATTTAAGAAGGAGAAGGGTTTGGGAGCCTGGAGTCCTGAGCCTGCTCTGGAAGTCAGATTCTTGGGTCCCTCTTGAAGGAATCATCTGGCAAGTGGGGGGTCGGGTCAGAATGTTTGAGTCTCCAAGAGAGGAGGGTGGGGGGGGGTTTGACTTGTCAATCTTCAGCAGGATGGGCGAGCTAGGGACTATGACCTTATCCCCAAGGAAGCAAGTAAAAGACTTGTTCTTGGAACTGGGATTTCTGCGTCTGAGCATAGAGGAGGCTGGGGGCTTGGAACCTTGGATCTAAGGAAGAACTAGGAGCTCAGATTCCTGGCTCTTGAATGATGAAAGAGAATGGAGCCAAGGGACAGAGAGGGGAGTGGCTGAGATCAGAAAGGAATTTGGAGCAGAGGCTCACGTTGCTGTTGACAGTAGTTGTGTTACTATTTTTGTTGCTATGACTCATAGTCATGCCCGAATGCCATCTCCTTAATGGCCCCTGAACTTTATTTTTTTCCTCCCCCTTTTCCAGTCCAGACACATGGCCCCAGGCCAAGCACCCCATCAGGCTACCCGCTGGAGGGATGCCCACCCTTTCTTCCTCCTGTCCCCAGTGATGGGCTTCCTCAGCCGGGCCTGGAGCCGCCTGAGGGGCCCGGGACCTCCAGAGCCCTGGCTGGTAGAAGCAGTAAAAGGAGCAGAAGCTGGCCTGGAGGGAGAAGCTAAGACTCCTCTGACAACCCCCCCTACCCCTTGGGACAGATGCTCTGAAGAGAAGGCTGAAGACAGTGGATGCCCTGAAGGGGACAGAGAAGAGCTGGGCCTGAAAACCAGCACTTCCCTTCCTGAAGCCTGGGGACTTTCAGATGATGACGATGATAAGTATAGTGAGCAAGAAGCAACCAGTGTCCCTAGAGGGCAGGGAAGTCAATTTGCAGATGGCCAGCGTGTTCCCCTGTCTCCCAGCCTTCTGATAAGGACCCTGCAAGGTTCTGATAAGAAGCCAGGGGAGGAGAAAGCCGAGGAAGAGGGAGTTGCTGAAGTTGAGGAAGTCAACAGGTTCTCTTATCCTCCGTCACACCAGGAGTGTTGTTCAGCAGTAGAGGAGGAGGATGGTGAAGAAGCTGCAAAGAAAGAAGCTTGCAGAACCTCTACTTCCGCCCTGTCTCCAGGATCCAAGCCCAGTACTTGGGTGTCTTGCCCAGGGGAAGAAGAGAATCAAGCCACGGAGGACAACAGAAGAACAGAAAAAAGTCAAGGAGCCAGGGAGACCCCCGTGTCACCCCCAGCTTCAGGCTCTTACCCCACTGCCTGGGAGTATCATTCAGGAGAGGCGTCCAAGGAGAAGAAGGAAAAGGCACACGAAGAAGCTGGGAAAGGAAAAGCTGCCCCAGGGCCACACTCCTCAGCCCCAGCTCAGAGGCCCCAGCTCAGGGCCTGGCGGTGCCAACCCAGTGATGAAGAGGAAGGTGAGGTCAAGGCTTTGGGGGCAGCTGAGAAGGATGGAGGAGCTGATCCTCCCTGCATCCCTGCCACAAGTGCCTTCCTGAAGGCCTGGGTGTATCAGCCAGGAGAGGACACAGAGGAAGAGGAAGGTGAGGAAGAAGATGAGGACAGTGACTCTGGATCAGATGAAGAGGGAGACGCTGAGGGCTCCTCTTCCACTCCTACGACAGGTACCTTCTTGAAGCCCTGGGTGTATCAGCCAGGAGAGGACACAGAGGAAGAGAAGGCGGAAGATGAGGACAGTGATACAGGATCAGCGGAGGATGAGGGAGAAGCTGAGACTTCCGCCTCCGCCTCCACACCCCCTACAAGTGCTTTCTTGAAGGCCTGGGTGTATCGTCCAGGAGAGGACACAGAGGAGGAGGAGGATGACGACAGTGATACGGGATCAGCTGAGGATGAGGGAGAGGCTGAGACTTCTGCTTCCACACCCCCTGCAAGTAGTTTCTTGAAGGCCTGGGTATATCAGCCAGGAGAGGACACAGAGGAGGAAGATGAGGATGCGGACAGTGAGGATACGGAAGATGATTCAGAAGCAGCTGTGGGAGAAACTGAGTCAACCCCACATCCATCCCACCCAGCCCAGAGTGCCCGTTTCAGGGACTGGGTATATCAACCTGGGAAGAAGACAGAGGAAGAGGAAGCTACTGAGTACTGGGGAGAAGCTGAGCCCTGCCCCTTCCGAGTGGCCATCTATGTACCCGGAGAGAAGCCACCGCCTCCCTGGGCTCCTCCTAGGATACCCATCCGACTGCAGAGGCGGCTCAAGCACCCAGAATCACCGACCCAAGATCCAGACCCTGAGACTCCCTTAAAGGCCAGAAAGGTGGGTGCTGAGAGCCCAGATTCTTGAGTCTTAGAGAGAAGCGGGGCTGGAGGCTGAGACTCCTGGGTCCCTGTAGTTGCAGAAGGTTGCATGTGACCTCCATAGGGAGGGCTGTGTATGCTGTCATGCAATCCCTTGTAAGAGGCCAGGTCCCTGGGGGAGGAGGGAGCAGCTGTGGCTCATGCCAGCCCCAGGAAACCACCTCTGCCCTCAGTGAGTCAGACAGAGACTCCTGTGACAGTGACAGGGACGTGACTAGCCAGATAGAAAGCATTTTTGTGTAACTAATTTTTGTTTGCTTCTCTCTCTTCCCCACCCTCCCCATCCGGATTCCCATGGCTGTGTGCATATCCTCTCTGTGTCCCCATGTCTGCCCCCAGGTACACTTCTCTGAGAAGGTCACCGTCCATCTGCTGGCTGTCTGGGCAGGGCCAGCCCACGCCGCCCGCCAGGGCCCCTGGGAGCAGCTTGCCCGGGATCGCAGCCGCTTTGCACGCCGCATTGCCCAGGCCCAGGAGTTGCTGAGTCCCTGCCTCACCCCTGCTGCCCGGGCCAGAGCCTGGGCACGCCTCAGGAACCCACCTTTAGCCCCCATCCCTGCCCTCACCGAGACCTTGCCTTCCTCCTCTGTCCCTTCATCCCCAGTTCAGACCACGCCCTTGAGCCAAGCTGTGGCCACACCCTCCCCTTCCTGTCTAGGTCCCCTGGACCTCAGTGGGAGGCGTGGCTAAGACCAACTGGTTTGCCTATAATTTAACTATTTATTTTTTCTAAGTGTGGGTTTATATAAGGAATAAAGCCTTTTGATTTGTAGCAAGCAGCGTCTGTGTGTGTGTGTCAGAAACTGATAGCATCCTACCTACAGGTACCCGAGGTAGCTGGGGAGAGAAGAGCATAAAACAAAGCACCTCAGGCCAGGTGGGGTGGCTCATGCCTGTAATCCCAGTAATTTGGGAGGCTGAGGCAGGTAGATTGCCTGAGGTTGGGGGTTCAAGAGCAGCCTGGTCAACATGGAGAAACCCCATCACTACTGATCTTAGGTTCCTCCTGTGGGAAGTAGAAAAGTTCCTCTTTAAAGTTCTCTTTACTGTTAAAAAATAAGTGTGCTGGCCGGGCGTGGTGGCTCATGCCTATAATCCTAGCACTTTGGGAGCCGAGGTGGTTGGATCACCTGAGGTCAGGAGTTCAAAACCAGTCTGGCCATCGTGGTGAAACTCCATCTTTTAAAAGAAATTTTTTTAAAAGAAAAAACTAAAAGAATAAGTGTGCTAATAACTTTTTGTTAAGCCCTATCCTATGCAGCTGTTAGACATGCCATGCTTACAGGCACGTAGTACATTCTATGTCCTTGTACTTTATCCAGGATACCTGTGCTGGACGTGCTCACAGGCATGTCCCAGCTCTCCATTGCTTTTACTTGTTTGAAAAAGTTTTAAGTTGTTAGCCATTCGGGTTTTAGTTTAAATTGTGAGGTCTGGCTCCAACCAATGGAGATCAGACACAGCAGTAAGGACGACCCGAAATTCGTAATGGATCAATTTGTCTGCTTTTCATTTGTTCATTATACTCTTGTGGCAGGATGGCTAGTGAGGGTACCCTTCCTGCAGTTCAGGAAGTAAAATTTGTGTTGCTGAAAGATTCTTTGTCTCAGTGTTAATTTTTCTTTGCAGCACCAAGCATCTGTTTCTAACATTAGTGATGTTATCTGCAGAAGTAATTGGGGAAATTGCATATCTTGTGACCTCTAGAATAATGACTAATCATCTACCTCTAATTTTTTTTTTTCTGTTTTTTTTTTTTTGAGATGGAGTCTCACTCTGTCACCCAGGCTGGAATGCACTGGCTCGATCTCGGCTCACTGCAACCTCCAACCCCTGGGGTTCAAGTGAACCTCCTGCCTCAGCATCCTGAGTACCTGGGACTACAGGGGAGCACCACCATACACAGCTAATTTTCTTGGTATTTTTAGCAGAGACGGGGTTTCACTATGTTGACCAGGCTGGTCTCAAACTCTTGACCTCGTGATCCACCCACCTCAGCCTCCGAAAGTGCTGGGATTACAGACATGAACCTGCACTACTGCACCCAGCCTCTACGTCTCATTTTTACTTTTTTGTTGTTATTGAGGCCAGGTCTCTCTGTGTCGCCAGGCTGGAGTGCAGTGGCACAATCTCGGCTCACTGCAACCCAGAATTCAAGCAATTCTCCTGCCTCAGCCTCCCTAGTCCCCGAGATGACAGGCACACCCTACCACGCACGGCTAATTTTTGTATTAATCCACCTCTAGACCTTGCAGAATTCAGGCTCCTCTCAACCTCCTAACCTGATGGGCCTTTCATTAGCTTTACAAAAGCAGCTTAGTTTTGGGAAGGGTTATTCTCATTTAAACTAGAAACTAAAGGCCTGGGCACGGTGGCCCATGCCTGTAATCCCAGCACTTTGGGAGGCAGAGGTGGACAGATCACTTGAGGTCAGGAGTTTTGAGACAAAACGGGCCAACATGGTGAAATCCTAACTCTACTAAAAGTTTTTAAAAAATAGATGGATGTGATGGTTCACACCTGTAATCCCAGCTACTCAGGAGGCTGAAGCAGAATTCCTTGAGCCAGGGAGGTGGACCAAGACTCCATCTCAAAAAAAGAACACGTATAAATCTTTTTTTTTTTTTTTTTTAGAGGCAGAGTCTCACTCTGTCACCCAGGTTGTAAGTGCAGTGAAGTGATCTCAGCTCACTGCAACCTTCGCCTCCCAGGTTCAAGCAATTCTCCTGCCTCAGCCTCCTGAGTAGCTGGGACTACAGGTGCGTGCCACCATGCCTGAAACCATTATTATTATTAATTTTTTGTATTTTTAGTAGAGATGGAGTTTCACCATATTGGCCAGGGTGGTCTCGAACTCCTGACCTTGTCATTCGCCCACCTCAGCCTCTCAAAGTGCTGGGATTACAGGCGTGAGCCACCTCGCTGGGCCAACACCTATAAATTAAATGTCTCCCATAGTTAGCTTGGTCCAAGCCCAGGAGTGATTAAGGGCAGTTTGGAGATTAAAGGCAAGATGGGGTTGGTTAGAGCAGATCTCTTTCACTGTTATAATTTTCTCACTGTTAATAATTTTTGGAGAAGGATTTCATCTTCTCTGACTTCACAGATTCTGTCCAGTTCAAACAAGAATGGGATGACTGTCCAGCCTTATACCCGACCCCTCTCCACTGGCTTCCCACACTCCTGCCACATAATCCTTTCATTTCCCCAAGGCAACCAAGCCTAATTCCATCTAATTTAACACCTTTGTATGAGCACTGCCTGCTGCCTAAAGATCCCAACCCTCAGCCCTCTTGCTTAGCTCCTGATTCTTCAGATACAGTGTGAAAAAAAATTTTTTTTTTTTTTTGAGACAGAGTCTCATTCTGTTGCCCAAGATGGAGTGCAGTGTCATGATCTCCACTCGCTGCAACCTCCGTCTCCCGGGTTGAAGCAATTCTCGTGCCTCAACTACCTGAGAATCTGGGATTACAGGCATGTGCCACCATGCCCAGCTGACTTTTTTTTTTTTTTTTAAGACAGGGTTGGCCGGGCGCGGTGGCTCACGCCTGTAATCCCAGCACTTTGGGAGGCCGAGGCGGGTGGATCACGAGGTCAAAAGATCGAGACCATCCTGGTCAACATGGTGAAACCCCGTCTCTACTAAAAATACAAAAAATTAGCTGGGCATGGTGGCACATGCCTGTAATCTCAGCTACTCAGGAGGCTGAGGCAGGAGAATTGCCTGAACCCAGGAGGCGGAGGTTGCGGTGAGCCGAGATCGCGCCATTGCACTCCAGCCTGGGGAGCAAGAGCAAAACTCCGTCTCAAAAAAAAAAAAAAAAAAAAAAGGGTTTCACCATGTTGGTCAGGTTGGTCTTAAACTCCTGACCTCAGTTGATCCGCCCGCTTTGGCCTCCAAAGTGCTTGGATTACAGGCATGAGCCACCACGCCCGGCCTTGATTTTTGTATTTTTAGTAGAGACAGTGTTTTGCCATGTTGGCCAGGCTGGTCTCGAACTCCTAACCTCAAGTGATCTGCCTGCCGCGGCCTCCTAAAGTACTGGAATTACAGTCATGAGTAACTACACCCAGCCGAAAATCACTTTTTTAGAGTTGCTGTGCTCTGATCCAACAGGCTTGTGGCTCAGTGTGTTTTTCTGAGGATTTTACCTTTTTTGATGGGCTTTTGGCCCATCCCCCATGATCATCTGTTTTCATGATCATCAAAGTAGGCTGCTTTTCAGCCCATTTTCACTAGACTGGACTCTCAGGGGTGGCTAGTAAGTGTGGGTTGTTAATATTTATTTATTTATTTACTTTTTTGAGTCAGAGTGTCACTCTTTCGCCCAGGCTGGAGTGCAGTGGTGCAATTCCAGCTCACTGCAATCTCTGCCTCTAAGATTTAAGCAATTCTCCTGCCTCAGCCTCCTGAGTAGCTGGAATTACAGGCACCTGCCACCATACCCAGCTAATTTTTGTATTTTTCACAGAGATGGGGTTTCACTGTGTTGGCCAGGCTGGTCTTCAACTGCTGACCTTAGGTGATCTGCCCACCCACTTCTGCCTCCCAAAGTGCTGGGATTACAGGCCTGAGCCACCATGCCCAGGCTTTTTTGTTTGTTTAAGACAGAGTCTCACTCCATCTCCCAGGCTGGAGTGCAGTGGCGTGATCTGCAGCCTCCACCTCTCGGGTTCAAGCATTTCTCGTGCCTCAGCCTCCTGAGTAGCTGGGATTACAGGTGCCCGCCACCACTCCCAGCTAATTTTTTTACTTTTTTTTTTAAAGACGGGGGTTTCACCATGTTGGTCAGGCTGGTCTTGAACTGCCGACCTCAGGGGATCCACCCACCTTGGCCTCCAAAGTGCTTGGATTACAGGGGTGAGCCACCATGCCCGGCCTTCTTCTTCTTTTTTTGAGACAGTCTTGTTCTGTCGCCAGGCGTCAGGCTGGAGTGCACTGGTGCAATCTCAGCTCACTGCAACCTTCGCCTCTCAAGTTCAAGCGATTCTCCTGCCTCAGCCTCCCGAGTAGCTCGGACTACAGGTGCGCACCACCACGCCCAGCTGATTTTTGTATGTTTTTAGTAGAGACCGGGTTTCACCATGTTGGCCAGGATGGTCTCAATCTCTTGACCTCCCAAAGTGCTGGGATTACAGATATGGGCCACCGCACACAGCCCAAATTTTTGTACATTTAGAAGGGACAGGGTTTCATCATGTTGGACAGGCTGGTTTCAACTCCTGACCTCAGGTGATCTGCCCACCCACCTCTGCCTCCCAAAGTGCTAGGATTACAGGCGTCAGCCATCGCGCCCAGCCAGTGTTCATTATTATTAAGGTGGTGCAAAAGAAGGTGTGTTGTGGCCATTCCTCCGAATGAAGAGGCACACAAGCTGGTAAGGGTATGGTACTTTATATGGTATTTTATTTTGCTACTCAACGGCCAGCTTCACACTGAAACTGGACAAGCATATGGCGAAGGCCTGGAGCGGGCTAAGCGGGAAGCAGAAGTCCATGGTGAATGTGTCTGGGGCCACGCGGCCAAACTGGAGCACCAGACGTTCCGCTGAGAAGGAAATCAGGAAGGTTAGCCAGACCCTCTTATCTCCCACCTTGGAGAACTGAGACTTCTAGGCTGGAGTGCAGTGGTACAATCTTGGCTTGCTGCAACCTCCACCTCCCAGGTCGAAGCAATTCTCCTGCCTCAAGCTCCCAAGTAGCTGGGATTACAGGCGTGTTCCACCACACCCAGCTAATTTTTGTATTTTTAGTAGAAACAGGGTTTCATCATGTTGGCCAGGTTGGTCTTGAACTGCAGGTGATTCAACTGCCTCAGCCTCCCGAAGTGCTAGAATTACAGGTGTGAGCCACCACACCCGGCCAAGAACTGAGACTTTTTTTTCTTTTTTGAGATGGAGTCTTGCTCTGTTGCCCAGGCTGGAGTACAGTGGCACCATCGAGGCTTACTGCAACCTCAATCTCCTGGGTTGAAGCGATTCTCCTGCCTCAGTCTCCCAAGCAGCTGGGATTATAGGCGCGTGCCACCACACCCACCTAATTTTTGTATTTTTAGTAGAGACAGGGGTTTCACTATATTGGCCAGGCTGGTCTCGAACTCCTGACCTCGTGATCCACCCGCCTCAGCCTCCCAAAGTGCTGGGATTACAGGTGTGAGCCACCACACCTGGCCAAGTACTAAGACTTTCAAGAGGCTGAGAGGGGGTCTTTACTAAGCCAGAAAGCCTGAGGGCTGTGCAAACTACAATACCCAATAGGCTTTGCGATAGCCTGGCATCTGTCCTGCCTAGAAAAGTCCTCAAGTGATAATGGGAAATGTAGTTCTCTTCCATTCACGCCCTAATCCCACCCCCACCAGGGCCAGCTAAACAGGTTTCCAGGAGCTCACAGTCTTTGGGATGCATGATCTGGAAGTTCTTGACCGAAGTCATAGTAACTCGACCGTGGAAATCGAGCACAAAGACACGGTTCCTGTGGTTCCACAACGGGGTTTTGTTGTGCAGCACAAGCAACCCTTGGTTGTCCCCACGTCGGATGCGACTCAATATCGACTCCTGTTCCTGGAAGGTAAAGAAGGGGCTGTGGTTTTGTCTGACGTTTTAGAACCAGAGCGACTCCATTTTGAACAGGGGCTGGGTAAAATGAGAATGTGAAACCTGCTGGGCTGCATTCCCAGGAGGGTAGGCATTCTTAGGCACGGGATGAGACAGGAGTTTGACAGGACTGGTATCACAAGATACAGGTTATAAAAACACTGCTGATAAAACAGCTAATAAAGAAGCTGGCCAAAACGCACCAAAACCAAGATGGTGATGAAAATGACCCTGGTCGTCCTCACTGCTCATCATACACTAATTATAATACATTAGGATGCTCAGGCCAGGCGTGGTGGCTCATGCCTGTAATCCCAGCAGTTTGGGAGGCCAAGGTGGGCGGATCACTTGAGGTCGGGAGTTTGAGGCCAGCCTGACCAATATGGAGAAACCTGGTCTCTTTTAAAAATATACACTTAGCCGGGCGTGGTGGTACATGCCTGCAATCCCAGCTACTCGAGAGGCCGAGGCAGGAAAATCACCTGAACCCAGGAGGTGGAGGCTTTGGGGAGCCGAGATCACACCATTGCTCTCCAGCCTGGGCAACAAGAGTGAAACTCTGTCTCGAAAAAAAAAAAAAAAAATTGTACGCTAAAAGACATTCCCACCAGCACCATGATAGTTTACGAAGACCATGGCAACCTCAAGAAGTTACCCTGTATAGGCTGGGTGCTGTGGCTCACACCTGTAATCCCAGCACTTTGGGAGGCTGAGGCAGGTGGCTCACCTGAGGTCAGGAGTTTGAGACCAGCCTGGGCAACATGGTGAAACCCCTTCTCTATAAAAATACAAAAATTAGCAAGCATGGGGGTGCGTGCCTGTAATCCCAGCTACTCCAGAGGCCGAGGCATAAGAATCACTTGAACCCAGGAGGCAGAGGTTGCAGTGAGCCAAGATTGTACCACTGCACTCCAGCCTGTGCAACAGAGCGAAACTCTGTCTCAAAAAAAAAAAAAGATATAGCCTAAAACAGGGAGGAACCCTCAGTTCCAGGAATTGCCCACCCTTTTCCCAGAAAACTCATGAATAATCCACCTCTTATTTAGCATATAATCAAGAAATAACTACAAAAATTGCCAAACAACAGCTCTCAAGGCTGCTCTGCCTATGAAGTACTCATTCTTTTGTTTCTGTCTCTCGTTTTTCAGACAGAGTTTCGCTTTTGTTGCCCAGGCTGGAGAGCAATGGCGCAATCTCAGCTCACCACAACCTCCACCTCCAGGGTCAAGCAATTCTCCTGCTTCAGCATCCCGAGTAGCTGGGATTACAGGCATGTGCCACACGGCCAGCTCATTTTGTATTTTTAGTAGAGATGGGGTTTCTCCATGTTGGTCAGGCTAGTCTTGAACTTTCAACTTCAGGTGACCCATCCACCTCTGCCTCCCAAAGTGCTGGGATTACAGTCGTGAGCCACCGTGTTGTTTCTTCTCTAATAAACGCCTTCACTTGAATCTGTGGACTGGCCCCAAATTCTTTCTTGCCTGAGATCCAAGAACCCTCTCATGGAGTCTGGATCAGACCCGTTTGTGGTAACAGTTTGTTAACCTACCATGAATCCTTTTTTCTCTGGATGCAAACGTTTTGAGTCTCTAGTCTTTACTCCCTGAGACACGGAAGTCTAAGAAAGTCCTTCAGCCTTCACGTGAGACAGCAACCCACTGGCCTCCTCTTCCTCCTCCTCTGGGATCTAGGAGAACCTGCCCCAGCCCCTTCTCCTCCATTGACCCAGAGATTCCCAACATTGGATACTCACTCTTAGTGGCTGGACACTGACGATCTGGTTCTGGCTGTCGGTTTCTGGGAGAACCACAGTCATTTCCCGAGGTCCCAGGAATCCCAAGGCGTTGGTCTCCTGGGTATATTATATCTCAGTTGGCCTTGTTCCTTCTTCCCACCATCCTACCCCTTTCTTTTGCACCCAGGACACTCACATAACACACAGCCCCCAGCTCCCGTCTGATCCGGGCAGTATCCCTGATTAAATGCTCCCGGTCAGGATTCACCCCGTTGTCAAAGATGGTGAACTTGGTGCCCAGGGCATTGGATCTGCTCCAGGAAGGGAATGGATAGAATTAAAATTGTGTCACTCTTTGAGTGTCACTCATCACATCGACTTCCCTGCAATCCCCTATGTCAAAGCCTATGTTCGAATGTCTAAGAATCCTGTTCCTAGGCCAGGCACAGTGGCTTACACCTGTAATCCCAGCACTTTGGGAGGCCGAGGCGGGCAGATCACCTGAGGTCAGGAGCTCAAGACCAGCCTGGTCAACATGGTGAAACCCTGTCTCTACTAAACATACAAAAAATTAGCCGGATGTGGTGGCAGGTGCCTGTAATCCCAGCTACTGGGGAAGCTGAGGTGGGAGAATCACTTAAACCCAGAGGTGGAGGTTGCGGTGAGCCAAGATCTCGCCATTGCTCTCCAGCCTCGAAGACAGAATGAGACTGTCTCAAAAAAAAAAAAAAGAAAAAGAAAAAAGAATTGGGAGGCAGAGGCAGGAGGATAGCTTGAACCTGGGCAGCAGGGCAAAACTCCATCCCTGCAAAAAATAGAAAAATTAGCAGGGTGTGGCCATTCGCATCTGTGGTCCCAGCTCCTCTAGAGGCTGTGGTGGGAGGATCACCTGAGCCTGAGAAGTCGGGGCAGCAATGAGCTGTGATCATGCCACTGCACTCCAGCCTGGGTGACAGAATGAAACCCTGTATCTAAATAAATACATAAATAAGTAAAAAGAAATAAATAAATGAGGCCGGGCGTGGTGGCTCACACCTGTAATCCCAGCACTTTGGGAGGCCGAGGCGGGCAGATCACCTGAGGTCGGGGAGACCAGCCTGACCAACATGGTGAAACCCCATCTCTACTAAAAATACAAAATTAGCTGGGTGTGGTGGCACATGCCTGTAATCCCAGCTACTCAGGAGGTTGAGGGCAGAGAATCACTTGAACCCGGGAGGTGGAGGTTGCAGCGAGCCAAAATCGCACAGTTGCACTCCAGCCTGGGCAACAAAAGCGAAACTCCGTCCCCCCCCCAAAAAATTAATGAAACAATCATGTTCCCAGCATCCATGGTCCCAGCGCCCCCATTTCTTGGGTGAGCCATGTATTTTATTTCGCCTCCCTATTTTATTTAACGGGCCCTTTAAGAACTCTGTTCCTTTTTTTTTTTTTGTCAGCCAGGCTGGAGTGCAATCTCTCCATCTCTGCTTACGGAACTTCTGCCTCCTGTGTTCAAGTGATTCTCCTGCATCAGCTGCAATTATAGGCCCCCGCCACGATGCCCAGCTAATTTTTGCATTTTTAGTAGACACAGGGTTTCACCATGTTGGCCAGGCTGATCTCAAGCTCCTGACCTCAAGTGATTCGCCCACCTCAGCCTCCCAATCTGCTGGGATTACAGATGGGAGCCACCGCGCCTGGCCTCTCTCTTCCCTTTTGGATGCAAGAACTCACACATTCCAGGCCTCTTCTCTCACAGAAAGTTAGGAGTCTCAGTCCCTTGCCTCTCAAGAAGTCAAATGCCTTAAATGTCAGCCTATGTTCCAAAGCGTTCAGTTCTTCTGATCCCTGAGCAGATGGAAGGTGTGCTCTGTGTCCTGTTGGGAAATGGGGTCCCCCTGTCCCCAAGCTCTCTGCCACCTGCTTCTCATGACATGTCAGAGCTCTGCCCACCTGACTTTGCCCACAAAGTTGTCCCCATCCCGAGATAGGTCTGTGGGATCCAGGGAGATGAGGTAATTAGAAGTTTTGCTCCTTCTCCTCTTTCGCCCAGCCAGGAGGAAGTGCTATGGATGAGAGGAATGGCCCATTAGAATGGACTTCTGGAGGCCAGGCATGGTGGCTCATTCCTGTAATCTCAGCACTTTGGGAGGCTGAGGTGGGCAGATCACTTGAGGTCAGGAGTTCAATACCAGCCTGGCCAACATGGTAAAACCCTGTCTCTACTAAAAAAAAAAAAAAAAAAGCCGAGCATGGTAGTGTGTGCCTGTAATCCCAGCTAGTAGGGAGGCTGAGGCAGGAGAACTACTTGAACTCAGGGGCAGAGGTTGTAGGGAGCCGAGATCGAGCCACTCCAGCCTGAGTGACAGAGCGAGACTCTGTCTCAAAACAAAAGTTAAAAAAAAAAAAAAAGGGACTTCTGTTAGCTGGCTAAAGCCAGGGGTCCAAAGACAAGGAAACGCCATGTCCCATGATGGAGGAGCCAATGATGGCACAAGCTTCTCCAGACTTACTGGGCAATGTGGTTCTCACTGAGGGAAGCCATCAGCTGAGTCCTGAATGGAAGCTTCACTGTCTTAACATCTTTCCCTCATTCCCTCCGCCTGTGAGTCCAGGGTGGAAGCTGAGCCCAGGAGGGGTCTAACTTTGGAGAATGGGGAACACCCTTCCTTGCAATATTGCAGCAGGACTTTGGTAGGCGTTTCATCTAGGAAAAATGAGTTTGGCTCTGAGTAGGGGAAAAACCTCTTTCTAGGGGGAAAGAGGATACCCGGAGGAGAGGAACCCATATTTCGAGGGTAAAGGCCAGATTGAGAGGGGTGTGGCTTGGCTCTCCATAGGAAAATCCTTGAGGGGAGGGGCCTGGCTGCGAGGGGCAGGACTTATCTCAGGATAGGCTGAGGCCTGATAGCTGATAGCAAAGAGGGCTCAGTGAGGGTCCAGACTTTTTTTTTTTTTTTTTTTGATACAAGGTCTGGCGCGATCTCTGCCTCCTGGACTCAAGCCATACTCCCACCTCAGCCTCCCAAGTAGCTGGGACTACAGGTGGGCACCACCATGCCCAGCTAATTTTTTTGTTTTTTTTGTATTTTGTATTCTAAAGACAGGGTTTCACCATGCTGCCCAGGCTGATCTTGAACCTGTCAGCTCAAACGATCTGCCTGCCTTGGCCTCCAGAACGCTGAGATTACAGGCATGAACCACCATGCCTGGCCTTTCTTTTTTTTTTTCTTTTTATTTATTTATTTATTTATTTTTTTCAAGATGGTGTTTCACCATGTTGGCCAGGGTGGTCTTGAACTCCTGACCTCAGGTGATCCACCCACATCGTCCTCTCAAAGTGCTAGGATTACAGGTGTGAGCCACCATGCCCGGCTCTTTTTCTTTTTTTTTGAGATAAGAGTTTCACTCTTGTTGCCCAGGCTGGACTGCAATGGAGTGATCTCGGCTTACCCCAACCTCCACCTCCCGGGTTCAAGAGATTCTTCTGCCTCAGCCTCCCAAGTAGCTGGGATTACAGGCACGAACTACCAAGCCTGGCTAATTTGTTTTGTATTTTTAGTACAGACTGGGTTTTTCCATGTTGGTCAGTCTGGTCTCAAACTCCTGAGCCCAGATGATCCGCCCATCATGGCCTCCCAAAGTGCTGGGATTACAAGCGTGAACCACCGAGCCTGGAGATATATATATATATATATATATATATATATATATTTTTTTTTTTTGACAGAGTCTCACTGTGTTGCCCAGGCTGGAGTGCATGTCACAATCACGTCTCACTGCAGCCTCGAACTCCCAGACTCAAGGAGTCCTCTCACTTCAGCCTCCGGAGTAGCTTGGACTACAGGTGCATAGCACCATGTCTGGCCAGTATTTGGATTTTTTGTGAAGACTAGGTTTTGCCATGTTGTCTAGGCTGATCTTGACCTAACCCATAAAGGAGTGGGATTTCCCCTGGGAGGTGGGGCTTACTCCAAAGGCTGCTGAGCCAGCTGACTGAACCTTCAGCCCATTGGGGTTCTCCAGGTAGAGGTAGTAGAGGGGGAACAAGCCCTTGTCCACGCCGCGGTTGTCGCGGTTGATGTAACACTGCATCCTGATGCCCTGGAGAGCCGGCCGCAACACGTAGGCTTTCTTATCCTCGCCCAGCAGAGGGCAGGGGAAGCTGATTGCAAAGGAGGCTTTGCGATTCATATGGTCGCCGCCCATGCCGCCCTCGCCTTCAAGGGCCCTGGACAACTTTTTCTCGATTGCTGCTGAGGAATTCGTCCTTGTAGATTCCGACGCCTCTTTCTTCTTCTCCAAGTCTTCTTCCTAGCCCGGGCACCAAATTCAAAGTCGAGGAACAACCGCGCCCACAGACTTGCTCACTACTGATTGGCCATCCCAGCCCCACAGTCCCGCCTCCTCCCGCCCACGTTTCCTGCTTATTGGTCAAACAGCTCAGCCAGCCCACCCAGCCACACCCTCCAATGTTAATTGGCCAGTAGATTGGCTTTCCTCGGCGGCCACACCCACTGCACCTGCTGATTGCAGAATTCCTTTGAAAGCACGGCCCATTTCGTTAGACGCTGTTAGTTTCATCTAGACAACATAATGCAGGCCAGATCTTCCCCCAAGAGAAACCATACTGCACTTTCACCAACACCAAAGTGAGTGCCAATTGGCCCTTTTCTTTCTTTTCTTTCTTTCTTTCCTTCCTTCCTTTCTTTCTTTCTTTTTTCTTTTCTTTATCTTTTCTTTCCTTCTTTCTCCCTCTCTCCCTTTTTCTCTTTCTCTCTTTCTTTTATTTATTTATTTATTTATTTTTAGACAGAGTCTCTGTCGCCCAGGCTGGATTGCAGCGGTGCCATCTCAGCTCACTGCAACCTCCGCCTCCCAGGTTCAAGCAATTCTCCGGCCTCAGCCTCCCGAGTAGCTGGGATTACAGGCTCGCGCTTCCATGCCTGGCTAATTTTTGTATTTTTAGTAGAGACGAGGCTTCACCAAGTTGGCCAAGCTGGTCTCGAACTCCTGACCTCAGGTGATAGGCCTGCCTTGGCCTCCCAAAGTGCTGGGATTACAGGCGTGAGCCACCGAGCCATGGACTGTATTTTTTTTTTCGAGACCGAGTCTTGCTCTGTTGCCAGGCTGGAGTGCAGCGGTGCAATCTCAGCTCAGTGCAACCTCTGCCTCCTGTGTTCAAGCAATTCTCCTGCCTAGCCTCCGGAGTAGCTGGGACCACAGGTGCACGCCACCACACCCGGCTAATTTTTGTAATTTTAGTGGAGACAGAGTTTCACCATGTTAGCCAGGATGGTCTCGATATCCTGACCTCGTGATCCGCCCGCCTCGGCCTCCCAAAGTGCTGGGATTACAGGCGTGAGCCACAGCGCCTTGCTTCATGGACTGCATTTTAATGTCCATGCTCATATCAAGTCAAATCCTCTAATTTGATAAATGGTACACACACACACACACACACACACACACACACACACACACGAGTCTCTGCTAGATTAATCACCACCAGAAAAAAGGGCTTCTGATTGGGCTGCAGAATTTTAGCTCCACCCTCCCCAGAGGTCTGAGGCTAGCCCCCCTCTTCCTACACCTTGAGGGGCTGTGCCTCGTCCCACCTTTTGGAAGGCCAAGTTTTCCTGTCCCCGGTCACCGTCCATTCCAGGGTTTGGTCCCATTTTGGGTGCCTTGTATGCATCTCCGACATCCTGGGATTCACTCTCACCCTCTGTACCGGTCTCTAAAGGATGGAAGAAGCCAGGACTAAGCTCAGGACATCTGGGTTCCAGGAGTGAGGGACAACATCATCAGTGCTAGCTAGAGAAGGCCAGAACTCCTGGGTTCTCAGTCCCTACTCATTACTCAGCGACCTCACTTGCAACATCCTCCTCCTCCCCCAGGTGCATGGAAGTCTACAAGGGCCAGAGTTTCTGACTACTCTGGGCCTAAGGACAGGGAGGGGTTAGGGTCTTCCCTTTTCTTTGTCTCAGACAAAGCATCAGAGACTGAAAAGCTAAGATGGGGGAATGGAGTTTGGGGTGATAAGAGTTCTGTCATTGAAATCATTGGCTGTCTCATGAGAATAAAAAGAAAAAAAAGTCGACCGGGCGTGGTGGCTCACGCCTGTAATCCAAGCACTTTGGAGGCCAAGGCGGGTGGATCACCTGAGGTAGGGACTTCAAGACCAGCCTGACCAAGACGGTGAAACCCCGTCTTTAAAAAAAAACGAAAGAAAGTCACCACAATGGAATATTATAAGGAAATAAAAGGAATGAAGCAGTGATAATACTACCACATGGATGAATCTTAAAAATTTGTTAGGTGATAGCCAGGTGTGGTGGCGGGCACCTGTAATCCCAGGTACTTGGAAGGCTGAGGCAGGAGATTGAACCCAGGAAGCAGAGGTTGCAGTGAGCCGAGATTGCACCACTTCACTCCAGCTGGGGCAAAAGAGCAAAACTCTGTCTGAAAAAAAAAAAAAAAAAAAAAAGCTCCCCCACCAAAAATGTGTTAGTTGGGCTGGGGGCAGTGGCTCACACCTGTAATCCCAGCACTTTGGGAGGCCAAGGTGGGTGTATCACGAGGTCAGGAGTTCAAGACCAGCCTGGCCAACATAGTAAAACCCATCTCTACTAAAAATACAAAAATTAGCAGGGCATGGTGGCATGCTTGTAGTTCCAGCTACTTGGGAGGCTGAGGAAGGAGAATCGCTTGAACCCAGAAGGTGGAGGTTGCAGTGAGCCAAGATCACACCACTGCACTCCAGCCTGGGTGACAGAGTGAGATTCTGTCTCAAAACAAAACAAAACATATATCGGTGAATGAGGTGAAGGAAGATACATGGTGGCTCACACCTGTAATTCCAGCACTTTGGGAGGCCAAGGTGGGAGGATCACTTGAGCCCAGGAGTTCAAGATCAGTCTAGGCAACACAGAGACACCCCATCTCAAAGAAAAAGAAAAAATGAATTAAAGAAAGAAGCCACACAGTGTATGATTCCATTTGTGTGAAATGTACAGAATAGCCAAATCTAAGAAGACAATGTAAGGCCGGGCGCGGTGGCTCAAGCCTGTAATCCCAGCACTTTGGGAGGCCGAGGCGGGTGGATCACGAGGTCAAGAGATCGAGACCATCCTGGTCAACATGGTGAAACCCCGTCTCTACTAAAAATACAAAAAATTAGCTGGGCATGGTGGCACGTGCCTGTAATCCCAGCTACTCAGGAGGCTGAGGCAGGAGAATTGCCTGAACCCAGGAGGCGGAGGTTGCGATGAGCTGAGATCACGCCATTGCACTCCAGCCTGGGTAACAAGAGCGAAACTCTGTCTCAAAAAAAAAAGAAGACAATGTAGACTGGTGTAGATTGGTGGTTGCCAAGGGCTGGGAAAATGGAAAAGACGGTGACTGCTAACTGATGCACCATTTCTTTTTTTTTTTTTTTTTGAGACAAAGTCTTGCTCTGTTGTTCAGGCTGGAGTGCGGTGGCCTAATCTCAGCTCACTGCAACCTCTGCCTCCCGGGTTCAATGTCTGCTCCCTTGGTTCAAGTGATTCTCTCACCTCAACCTCACCAGCAGGGGGGATTACAGGCGCATGTCACCATACCCAGCTAATTTTTGAGATCAGGAGTTCAAGACCAGCCTGGTGAAACCCCATCTCTACTAAAAATACAAAAATTAGCCAGGTGTGGTGGTGTGCTCCTATAGTCCCAGCTACTTGGGAGGCTGAGGCAGGAGAATCTCTTGAACCCAGGAGGTGGAGGTTGCAGTGAGCTGAGATAGCACCACTGCACTCCAGCTGGGGGGGCAGAGTAAGACTCCTTCTAAAAAAAAAAAAAAGCTATTTACACTGCACTTATACCGTATTAGGCATTATAAATTATCTAGAGATGACTTACAGTATATGGGAGGATATTCATAGTTTATATACAAATTTTACTCCATTTTATATAAGGGACTTGGTCATCTGGGGATCTTGGTATCTGTGAGGTTCCTGGAACCAATCCCCTGCAGATACCGAGGGGCGACCGTATACTAGAAACCATGGAATTGAAAACTTTATTTATTTTGAGATGGAGTCTCGCTCTGTCGCCAGGCTGGAGTGCAGTGGTGAAACCTCGGCTCACTACAACCTCTGCCTCCCGGGTTCAAGCGATTCTCCTGCCTCAGCCTCCCAAGTAGCTAAGACTACAGGCACGTGCTACCACGCCCAACTATTTTTTGTATTTTTAGTAGAGACGGGGTTTCACCATGTTGGTCAGGCTGATCTCGAACTCCTGACCTCGTAATCCGCCCGCCTTGTCCTCCCAGTGTGAGGATTACAGTCGTGAGTCACCGCCCCCCGCCGGAATTGAAAACATTAAATGGATGACTTGTATGGTATGTGAATTATACCTCAATGAAGCTGCTACCTAAGAAAGGGGGAGATTTGCTGCATGAACCAAGGGATCCCAGGTTTCACCCCAATGTCCCCTAAATTACCAGGACGTTGGCGGGGTTGCCAACACCTTCGTGGGATTCTTGGAGTCGGTTTAAAAAGTGGAGGAGAGACAGAACAATTCTCCAAGGAGACTTCCTCCAATTCTGAATCGGAACTGTCTGGGAGCAAGGATAAGGAAGGGGACTGGAGACCAAGATTCCAGAACACTGAGTAAGGAAGGAGGGGAGGCTTGGATCCCTGCGTGCTGGAGGAGGCGGCGACTCAGGACCTGAACTCCTTGGTATGAGGAAGGAGGGGGTGCGGTCCAGAGCTCCTGAGTGCTTTGGACAGATAGAGTGAGTCCCCAGACTCCTGGGTTCTAGTGGGGGCGGAGTTCTGGGGTCTAGGCGGTCCAAGAGCTCGCGAATACCTGCTTCTATCCGCGGTGTCAGCGGGCCGCTCTGGCCGCTGCTGTCTCCACCACGGCTCACGGTGCCCACGGCACTGTGGATGCCAGAGAGCAGGTGTGCCTCTGACAAATTCTTCCGGGAGAAAGGGTTCCCAAGGCCTGAGAGAAGGTGCAGCGAACCAACAAAAATGATCTACAAATTCCGGTCCTCAACCAAGATCCACCCTGTCACTGGGCTCCCAAATATCACCCCCACCGGGCGCAGTGGCTCACGTCTGTAATCCCAGCACTTCGGGAGGCCGAGGCGGGCAGATCACCTGAGGTCGGGAGTTCGAGACCAGACTGACCAACATGGTGAAACCCTGTCTTTACTAAAAATACAAAATTAACTGGGCATGGTGGCGCATGCCTGTAATCCCAGCTACTCGGCAGGCTGAGGCACGAGAATCGCTTGAACCCAGGAGGCGGAGGTTGAAGTGAGCAGATATCGCGCTATTGCACTCCAGCCTGGGCAACAAGAGTGAAACTCCGTCTCAAAAAAAAAAAAAAAAAAATCACCCCGATTCGCGGACCACCCAAACCCTGACACTCACCCAGATCCCAAACTGCATCCTAAGGCTCAAACAAGCACAGCCCGGCCGCTGGATTGTTGCGGGCTCCGCAGGTGAACGATCTCACGCCGGGCTCTCGCAACGAGACCACGCCCCGCCCCGGACCCCTAGACCCCGCCTCCGCAATCCCTTGGTTGGGGTGGGGGGTGAGGTCCCGGCTCTCACAGGCTCCACCCCCGAGCTCTGCCAAACCCAATTATCACATTCTCTTGCCCCGTTCACCTGCCATGCCCCGCCCCTGCGCTCTCTAGCCCCGCCCCGAACCCCTCCCTCACAGGTCCTGCCGCGGGGCCGCTACAATCCCTGTTCTAAAGCCCTCCTGGACCAAGGCCCACCCCTCTCCACTACCAAGTCTCCACCCCAAGGCTCCACTAGGCTCCACCCTTCTTCCACTAGGTCCCGCCCACGGACTCCCACAGGCCCTTCCCCTCCAGACGAACGCCCCTAGGCGGAGCCCTAGGAGCCTTTGGTCACCTCTGTCACCTAAAAGGCGCTCTTCCCGCAGACACGGGCGACAATACCGCAGGGAAGCATCAGGACTGGTCTGAACCATGAGGAGCTCCTGGCGCTTCTGTCGTTGCTGTCGCTGCTTCTTTTCAAACAGCCGCTGCTGGAGAAATGGGAGAGGTGGGCGTCGGGGTCGGGAACCAGACGGGAAGACTGGAGTGAGGTGGGGCTTGGGGCAAGGGCTCGCATGGGCGCGAGAGTTCGTGAACCCCTTCCTCCACTGGGGCCCAGGTGTCCAGGTCTTCAGTCCTTCAGCTGCTGCTTCCTCACTCCTCGCTTGGACTGAGATCCGAGTCCTGGCACGCTGCCCCCTCGCCCCCCAGGACCCAGGAGTCCTGCCCTCTAGAAGAATTGTTCCTTAGAAATTCATCGCAAGGGTTTGTTTGCTTCTTTAGGACCCCCAATTCCTATTTTCTTTTCTTTCATTCGTTTTTTTTTTTTTGTTTTTTGTTTTTTTTTTAATTTGAGACAGAGTCTCATTCTGTCGCCCAGGCTGGAGTGCAATGCCGCGATCTCTGCTCACTGCAGCTTCCACCTCCCAAGTTCAAACTCCTCCCTCAGCCTCCGGAGTAGCTGAGATTACACCTCCTCCCTCTGCCTCCCGAATAGCTGGGTTTACAAGCACCCGCCACCACACCAGGCTAATTTTTTTTTGTATTATTAGTAGAGAGAGACAGGGTTTCTCAATGTTGGCCAGGCTGGTCTCGAACTCTTGACATCACCTGATCCGCACACCTCGGGCTCCCAAAGTGCTGTGATTACAGCCGTAAGCCACTGTGCTGGGCCCCAAATTTCTATTTTCTCATTTCTCAATGGGAAAACTCCAGGATGAGAGACACGCAATATGCGCAGGTAGTCCTAGAGCAAGATCTGGTGGAGGGGGCCTGGAGAGTGGAAGAGTGGGAGTGGTGAGATTCCTGGGCACAATACCTGCTGTTCCAGCTTCTGCAGGCTCACAGCAGCCAGCTCATGCCCCAGGATGCTGAGAGAGACGCAGGCTCAGGGTGACAGTTCACAGGGAACCTCAGTTGCCCAAAAGCCCCTCCCTCCCCCAACCTGTCCCTTGCCCAGCTTGGGTTCTGGGCACTGGTGAGGTCACAGAAGGTGCAGAATCTGAGCCTCCTCTATCAGTTATGGAGCCCTTTCTCCTGGCATTGGCCCTCAGAAGCCAGAACCCAGAGATCCCAGGCCCCTCCTGTCTCAGGACTCAGGAGTCTGGGGCCTCACCCCTTCTCTTTCAGACCCAGAAGTCTGCACCCTAGCGCCTTCCCTTTAGGACACAGGAGTCCATGTCCCCAGCCCCTTCCTGCAAGGCTGATGGTACTGAACCTGCAAACATGGTTATGAGGCCAGAGCTGAGTGCATGGAGGGGGTCCCCAGTCCCTTCCACCTCCACCCCTACCCATCTTTTTCCCTACTCACTCTCTCCTCCGAGTGTCATTTTCCTGAGACATTCTGCAGAAGCAAGAATGAGAAGTCACGATCAGAACCAACATCCCAATGGATCCTGCCCACCAACACTTAATCCTTAGCTAGCTTTATTTATTTATTGAGATGGCTGAGTCTCCCTCCATCGCCCAGGCTGCAGTGTAGTGGCGCCATCTCGGGCCACTGCAACCTCCACCACCTGGGTTCAAGCAATTCTTCTGCCTCAACCCCTCGAGTAGCTGGGACTACAGGTGTGCACTACCATGCCTGACTTTTTTTTTTTTTTTTTTTTTAGTTGGGGTCTTACTCTTGCCAGGCTGGAGTGCAGTGGAGCGACCTTGTTCACTGCAACCTCTGACTCTCTGGTTCAAGCAATTCTCCTGCCTCAGCCTCCAGAGTCCCTTGAGATTATAGGCAGGTGCCACCACGCCCAGCTAATTTTTGTGTTTTTAGTAGAGATGGGGTTTCACCATGTCGGCGAGGATGATCTTGATCTCCTGACCTCGTGATCTGCCCGCCTCGGCCTCCCAAAGTGTTGGGATTACAGGCGTGAGCCAACCCACCCGGCCTGATCCTTACCTTTAAATTTGCTCCTGGACCCAGGAAGCCCGAAACCCAACGCCCACTCCTGTCGGGATACGGTTGTCTGTTTCCAGGTTCCCACAGGGGTCCACAAGTTCTCTTCTCTCTTCTCAAATAGCTAACTCTCCAGCACCCAGCATCAGCACTAAGGAATGTGTGCCTCAAACACCCAGCCCCCGGTAGTCTAGAACTCCACTATCCACCTGCTTGGGATCTCAGAGACTCGTTCTCCCCCAGCAGGTGCCTGGAGAGGCTGCTCACATTGACGCCGCGGTACCTTGCCTCTTTGGCATACCTCTAAACATACCTGATCCTCTGTTTGGAAGCTGGGAACCTAATCTCGGGATATCTTGGAAGTAGGGAGGAGAAGAAAAAGGGCTCAGAGGGAGGGAGGATTCCCCCTGGGACCTGATCTGGTCGACTCCCTTCTGACCCTCCACTCTCTGCTTCCAACAAAGTAATGAGCTCCGTCACCGATGCAGCCAGGCAACCCTGCTCTGGGGATTCTGAACACGAATGACGTGTGGATGTTCCTTAAAGAGACAGAGACCTCATGCCCTCACTGTACACCTCTTGCTTATAAGAAACTTATAAAAGGCTGGGCGCAGTGGCTCACGCCTGTAATTCCAACATTTTGGGAGGCAGAGACAGGGCAGGAAGATTGCTTGAGCCCAGAGATTCAGACCAGCAACACAGGGAGACATCGCCCCTTTTTTCTTTCTTTCTTTCTCTTTTTTTTTTTTTAGACACCGCCCAGGCTGGAGTGCAGTGGTGCTATCTTGGCTCACTGCAACTTCCGCCTCCCGGGTTGAAGCGAATCTTCTGCCTCAGACTCCCTAGTAGGTGGTATTACAGGCATGCACCACCACTCCCAGCTAACTTTTGTATTTTTAATAGAGACCAGGTTACATCATGTTGGCCAAGCTGGTCTTGAACCCTTCCCCCCTTGGCGGGGGTGATCCCTCTGCCTCGGCCTCCCAAAATGCTGGAATTACCCGCGTGAGCCACTGAGCCCGGCCTGACATCCATCCATCTCTTTAAAAAAAAATTGTAGGCCGGGCGCGGTGGCTCAAGCCTGTAATCCCAGCACTTTGGGAGGCCGAGGCGGGTGGATCACGAGGTCAAGAGATCGAGACCATCCTGGTCAACATGGTGAAACCCCGTCTCTACTAAAAATACAAAAAATCAGCTGGGCATGGTGGCGTGTGCCTGTAATCCCAGCTACTCAGGAGGCTGAGGCAGGAGAATTGCCTGACCCAGGAGGCGGAGGTTGCGGTGAGCCGAGATCGTGCCATTGCACTCCAGCCTGGGTAACAAGAGCGAAACTCCGCCTCAAAAAAAAAAAAAAAAAAAAAAAGAATTAAAAATTAGAATATTTTTAGTGTGTGTGTGTGTGAGCGTGTGTGTTTGACAGTTTTGCTCTTGTCACCCAGGCTGGAGTGCAATGGCGCCATCTCGGCTGTCTGTAACCTCCGCCTCCCGTGTTCAAGCGATTTTCCTGCCTCAGCCTCCTGAGTAGTTGGGATCACAGGCACACGCCACCACGCCTGGCTAATTTTTGTATTTTTAGTAGAGACGGGTTTTCGCCATGTTGGCCAGGCTGGTTTCGAACTCCTGACCTCAGATGATCCTCCTGCCTCGGCTTCCCAAAGGGCTGGGATTGCAGGTGTGAACCTCCACGCCTGGCCCCCAAAATTAAAAAAAAAAAAAAAAAAAAAAAAAAACCTAGCCGGGCATGGTACTGTGGCCGGTGTTCCAGCTACTTGAGAGGCTGATGCGGGAGGATTGCTTGGGCCCGGGAGATAGAGGCTGCAGTGAGAAGTGATAGCGCCACTGCACTCCATCCCGGGTGACAGAGCAAACCCTGCCTCAAAAAATAGTAAGAAAGAAATTCGGCCGGGCGCGGTGGCTCAAGGCTGTAATCCCAGCACTTTGGGAGGCCGAGGCGGGCGGATCACGAGGTCAAGAGATCGAGACCATCCTGGCCAACATGGTGAAACCCCGTCTCTACTAAAAATACAAAAAAAATGAGCTGGGCGCAGTGGCGTGTGCCTGTAGTCCCAGCTACCTGGGAGACTGAGGCAGGAGAATTGCTTGAACCCGGAGGCGGAGGTTGCAGTGACCCGAGATCGCGCCACTGCATTCCAGCCTGGCGACAGAGCGAGACTCTGTCTAAAAAAAAAAAAGAAAGAAAGAAATTCGTAAGGAAGGCTATGCAATTGCTACTACTCTTAACTTGCAGGCACTTCGTGGGGCGAAAATACTTAGAAAAACTACAGCTCCCATGAGGCGAATGGGCCACGATGCCGGCGGAAGTTATTTTTCCCCAGGCTGGCAGGGAGTTGTAGTCCTCTTTGAACGCCTCCTCTCTCTTTTTGCATGGGCAGGAAATGTGGTGTCAAGAGGCTGGGATTCCGAGAAAGGAGGCGAGATTTCACGAAAATGCGAGCGACTTCGGCAACGGGCGGGGCCGCTAGGCCTGGATGAAAGGTACAGAGCCAGCATAGACCAATCAGACCTCCCTGGGGCGGGGCCTCTGTTGAAAAGTGGGCGTGGCCTAAGGGGGAAATCACCAAGAACGCACCGGAGGTCCTTGCCCGCCCTGGAAAACGCCCTCTGCGGTGAAGGAGAGGTGAGAAGCCAGGGTTCCAGCCTCTTGGGTCCTAGGGAGGATGGGGGCCAGAGGGCTGGAAAACTGGGTCCGGGAGGAGGATGCACTGGGTGCCAATACTTTAGGTCCTGGGAAAAGAGGAGGCTGGGACCCTGGACTCTTGGGTCTGGGGGAGGAGGAGGCCGAGATCCTGGATTCCTGAGTGTGAGGGAGGGAGCGTGTTGGGAGCCGGGACGCCTGGGTCTGAGGGGCCGGACTCCTGTGTCAGAGGAAGGGAAGGCTGGAGGCCTGGAATCCTGGGGCCTGGGTAACGAAATGATTGTGTCTTGATTCTTGGAAGTGGGGGCGGCGCTGGGAGCGCGAACTCCTGGTTCCAGGGGAGGAAGAGGCTTGGGACAGACATAATGCGTTACCCACCTCTCCATCCCCCACAGAGCACGCCGCCATGCCTCCCTCTGGGCCTCGAGGAACCCTCCTTCTGTTGCCACCGCTGCTGCTGCTCCTGCTTCGGGCTGTGCTGGCTGTCCCCCTGGAGCGAGGGGTGCCCAACAAGGAGGAGCCCCCTGCGACTGAGAGTCCGGTGAGTGGCCCTGCCCTGCTGTCCAGCCAGGTGGACAGCAGGAATGGCAGTAGGACTACAGTTCCTGGAGACCGCCATTCCCCTAAGGTGGATGCTCCAGTGCCTCCCTGGCCCTACCGTTGTAGCTTTTCTTTTGCCTGCCATTCCTTCCAGCCGCAGGGGTTTGACTTGGTGAAAAACTGCAGGTCCCTGACTCTGAGGTGTGGAAAATCTGCTTCACTCCCCAGTTAAACCTCTGAGTTGTTTTTGTTTTTGTTTTTTTTGAGACGAAGTTTTGCTCTTGTTGCCCAGACTGGAGTGCAATGGCGTGATGTTGGCTCACTACAACCTCCGCCTCCTGGGTTCGAGCGATTTTCCTGCCTCAGCCTCCTGAGTAGCTGGGATTGCAGGTGCCCACCACCACACCAGGCTAATTTTGGGGTTTTTTTTTTTTTTTTAAAGATGGAGTTTCTCCATCTTGGCCAGGCTGGTCTTGAACTCCTGACCTCAGGTGATCCACCCACCTCGGCCTCCCAAAGTGCTAGGATTACAGGCATGAACCACTGCACCCGGCAAGTTTTGGTATTTTTATTAGACACGGGGTTTCACCATGTTGGCCAGGCTGGCCTTGAACTCCTGACCTCCAGCGATCTGCCTGCCTTGGCCTCCCAAAGTGCTAGAAATTATAGGTGTGAGCCACTGAGTTCTGAACTGGAGAAATATGTTAGGTCAGGAGCAAGGAAGCGAGGAAGTGAGGGGAAGAGCATACCAGGCAGAGGGAACAGCATGAGCAAAGGCCACGTGGTGGGAGAATGCAGAGCAAGTTGAGGACGTGGAGGAGGCTGCTGTGGCTGGAACAGGGAGAGGAGGAGACAGGGAGATTATGTGGATCATGTGGGATCTTGTGAGACTTGGTAAAGAGGTAAATAATTTTTTTTTTTAATAGAGTCTTGCACTGTTGCCCAGGCTGGAGCGCAGTGACAGGATCATAGCTCACCGCAGCCTCAAACTCCTGGGCTCACCTGATCCTCCTGCCTCAGACTCCAGGTAGCTGGGACTACAGGCATGTGCCACCATGCCCGGCTAATTTTTTTTCTTTTTATAGAGACAGAGTCTCCCCGTGTTGCCCAGGCTGGTCTCAAACTCCTGAGCTCAAGCAATCCACCTGCCTCAGCCTCTCAAAGTGCTGGAATTACAGGCATGAGCCACAATGCCTGGACAGTTTTCTTTCTTTTTTTTTTTTTTTTTTTTTTAATTAAAAATTTTTTTGGTTTGGAACACAGGGTCTTGCTCTATCACCTTGGCTGGAGTGAGGTGGTATGATTATAATGTACTGCAGCCTCAGGCTCCTGGCTCAAGCAGTCCTCCTGCCTCAGCCTCCCACAGCACTGGGATTACAGGCATGAGCCACCACGCCTGGCTTTCTCTCTTTTGTGATTTTATTTACTTATTTTTTCCAATTTATCTTACTTGCTTTTCACCACAGCTCTGGGAGGCAGAGGACATATTGCCTGTTTTATACATAGGAAGAGCAAAGAAGGCCCAGGGACAGTAAAGGGCCGCCCAGCTATGCATGACAGGGACGGCACCAGGAGGCCTGGGACTTTTGTCTGTGTTGTTCGCAGTGCCTGGTGATAGGGGCCTGGTGAATGTTTGTTGAATGAATGGATGGATGGATGGATGGATGGATGGATAGGTGGGTGGTTAGATGGATGGGTGGGTGGATGGATGAGTGGGTGGGTAAATGGATGGATGGATGGGTGGGTGGATGGATGGGTGGATAAATGGGTAGATGGGTGGATAGATGGATGGATGAGTGGGTGGATGGGTGGGTGGGTGGATGGATTGATGGGTGGGTGGGTGGATGGGTGGGTGAGTGGATGGACAGATGGATGAATGGGTAGATGGATGGACAGATGGATGGATGATGGGTGGAGAGATGGGTGGGTGGGATGTATGGATGGGTGAGGGGATGCATGGATGGATGGATGGATGGATGAGTGGATTAATAGATGGATGGATGGATAGATGGATGATTGCTAGATGGGTGGGTAGGATGTATGGATGAGTAGGTGGATGCATGGATGGATGGATGGATGGATGGGTGGATGGGTGTGTGGGTGGGTGGGTGGATGGTTGAATAAAGGTTTGATTCATGGCCTCCCAACAAGTGGTATCCACTCTGAGCATCCACTCTGAGCAGTATTGGGCTGGGTGTTCACTGATATAATTTTCATTTCATCTTTGCTACAGATGTGGGAAAAGGTAAAAACTGAGTCCCTTGGCAGCTGCCCCAGGGAGCAGGCCATGGCAGTCACAGCAGTGGGGGCGGGGGGGGGGGTGGGAGCAGGAGCTGCTATGTCTGTCCTTGTTGCCTCAGGACACGGGCCTGTACTACCACCGGTACCTCCAGGAGGTCATCGACGTGCTGGAGACAGATGGGCATTTCCGCGAGAAGCTACAGGCTGCCAATGCAGAGGACATCAAGGTGCAGCTGCGGGCAGTGGGGGCTGCGGGAGGGGCACATGCTGGGACGGCAGAGCTCAGGAGATGACTGGTTTCTTCAAGGGGGCCGCATGGCTCCAGCTCTGCCGGTATTTGAGATCACCAAAGCAAGACTCAGGGAGAAGTTGCTTCTTGGGATCACAAGCTGGGAAGAGCTTTGGGGAACACAGAATATGTTGTTAGTGCAGACCCCCATGGGCAGACCTCAGCTGCAGCTCTACCACTTCCTAGCTATGGAGCCGCCCCTCCCCGTGCCTCAGTTTCCCCATCTGTAAAAATGGGAGTCATCACAGAACCTGTCGCGCAGGGTTCGGGTTTGGATTTTCCCAAGGGAAAATGTGTAAGGGAAGGATTTTCGGGTTTGGAATTTCCAAAGGAAGACGTGTAAAGGGTTTGGAAGAGCGCAGTGACACTCCTTAGCAAGTGTTCTGGAAGGGTTGCTTTAACAGAATGCTCCTATGGTGCCTTCTACGGAGAAAGAATTCAAAATAAGGGAGGCGCTGGTGTCCCTCACGTCTCTGTGGACTCCACATCAGGCCTCTAAGAGCACTGTCATTGTCCCCATTTCACAGAGCAGAACACCAAACCCTGGTAGCAGGGCCTCTGCTTCTCGTGGGCCTGGGTCTCACCCTAACTGGCTGAGCCAGAGCCCCAGCACCCCCACTGCCCCCAAGGACAGCAGATGATGCGGAGAGTCCCCCATGGGGGACGGGGCTGCCTGATCCAGGTCCTTGTCACCAGCCCCCAGTTCTCCAAACACCTCTGCCCACGACGGGCCCTGGGGCCTGGAACTGGTCAAGAGGTAGCCCCTAGTACTCATGGAAACTTCTCTGCACTCCCACCGCCCTCATCTGTCCCCATCCACCCGGCCTGGGATGCTGGACAGACAGAGTCACTAAGTCCAGCCCCTCCCATTGTGCAAGCAGGGAAATTGAGGCCCAGGAGGCCACCTGGCTTGCCCAAGGTCATGTGCCTGGGAAGTGACATCAGCAACAGAAAGGCCAGGCCAGGCACGGTGGCTCATGCCTGTAATCCCGGCCCTTTGAGAGGCTGAGGCGGGCGGATCACAAGGTCTGGAGTTAGAGACCAGCCTGGCCAACATGGTGAAACCCTGTCTCTACTAAAAATACAAATAAGGCTGGGCATGGTGGCACATGCCTGTAATCCCAGCGACTCGAGAGGTTGAGGCAGGAGAATCGCTTGAACCCAGAGACGGAGGTTGCAATAAGCTGAGATTGTGCCACTGCACTCCAGCCTGGGCGACAGGGCGAGACCCTGTCTCAAAAAAAAAAAAAAAAAAAAACAGAAGCAGAGAGGCCAGTTAGGCAGGCAGGGTACAGAGCGGATCAGGGCTGGGTCCATTTCAGCTCCACCCGTTGCTGTGTTGGGCCACCCTTCTCTGCACCTTGGTTCCCCTCTCTGAAAACGGGCTAATATGTGAGTCCTCCCTATTGTGAGGACTGGTTGTGCAAATCACTGATAATCCGTACTTCAGGAATGTGGCCTGGCTCATCGTAAGCCTGCAATAAATGTCAGTTATCCTGGTAGTCAGTAGCAGTGGCATCAGCCCGTTTTTTGTTTTGTTTTGTTTTGTATGAGACAGTGTCGCTCTGTTGCCCAGGCTGGAGTGCAGTGGCACCATCTTGGGCAATTGCAGCCTCCACCTCCCAGGTCCAAATGATCCTCCTGCTTTAGCCTCCCAAGTAGCTGGGACTACAGGCACACACCATCGTGCCCAGCTAATTTTTGTTTGTTTTGTGTTTCTTTTGAGACGGAGTCTCACTCTTGTTGCCCAGGCTGGAGTGCAATGATACAATGTGGCTCACCACAACCTCCACCTCCCGCGATTCTCCTGCCTCAGCCTCCTGAGTAGCTGGGATTACAGGCATGTGCCACCATGCCCAGCCTTATTTGTATTTTTAGTAGAGATGGGGTTTCTCCATTGTTGGTCAGGTTGGTTTCGAACTCTTGACCTCAGGTGATCCACCCACCTTGGCCTCCCAAAGTGCTGGAATTACAAGCGTGAGCCACCATGCCCAGTGAATTTTTAGTAGAGATGGGGTTTCACTATGTTGGCCAGGCTGGTCTCAAACTCCTGACCTCAAGTGATCCGCCTGCCTCAGCCTCCCAAAGTGCTGGGATTACAGGTGTGAATCACCATGCCTTTCCCAGCCCCAGTTTTGAGGTGCAGAGCAGGAAAGGGCTGTACTGGGTCACTTAAGGGCTGGTGCAAGTTTGGGATTTGAACCCAGGCCCTGGGGACTCCCAAACTGGAAGACAGTGACTCCAGTGTGGTCATCAGGCTAGAAGCTGACCTCCCTTCCTCACTGTCCAGGGGACCTTGGGCAAGTGGCTTTTCCTCCTGGGCATCAAGTCTTTCCAGTGAGTTGTGGACCAGATTGGGCCAGATTAGAGGAGGTGTGTGACTGGCTTTGGTCACTCTGACTGTGACTTCAGTCACCTCACCCTGCTGCCTCTGCAAAGGCCGTGCCCCATGGGCAGGAGAGACAGACGTGAGTCACATGTGACTGCAGTGAAGCAATCTGAGCAAAAACAGACAGCAGAGGGCACTGGGGGAGCCCCAAAGAGGAACCAGGACCAGACAGAGAAGCAAGAGAGGGCTTCCAGGGAAAGGGTGCCCAGCTGGGGGTGTCTGTGATACAGAAGTCAATGGAGGGTGGCATTTCAGAACACTGTGTGCAGATGCGCAAGTACCTTTTTTTTTTCTTGAGACTGAGTCACACTGTCGCCCAGGCTGGATGCAATCTCGGCTCACTGCAACCTCCGCCTCCCGGGTTCAAGCAATTCTCCTGCCTCAGCCTCCTGAGTAGCTGGGATTACAGGCACGCGCCACCATGCCCAGCCAATTTTTTGTAGTTTTTAGTAGAGACGGGGTTTCACCGTGTTGAACAGGATGGTCTCGATCTCTTGACCTCGTGATCCACCCGCCTCGGCCTCCCAAAGTGCTGGGATTACAGGCGTGAGCCACCGCGCCCGGCCTCTAATTTTGTATTTTTAGTAGAGATGGGGTTTTACCGTGTTGGCCAGGCTGATCTCAAACTCCTGACCTCATGATTTGTCCGCCTTAATCTCCCAGAGTGCTAGGATTACAGGCGTGAGCCACCGCGCCCGGCCTCTAATTTTGTATTTT